GTAGAAGGTCAAGAATTTTGAAGACGTTTTGGAGAATGAGTGATAGAAGATCGCGATCCTTCAGCTCTTCTATCAATGCTGGTAGAATCTTCTTCTCCATTACTGACTTGGGGAACGAGGGCAAAACCTTGTTGAGACCTCGCATGAAAGAAGCTTTCTCATTTGCAGTCTTGGCAGGGAATGAGTCCAAGAATCTAATGGTCGATACCAGGATGTTGTCAAAATATTCGCTTTGCTGAAACTCGCGCGCCGTCATTCGTTGGGCAGGTCGCCTTGTAATTAGTCTAGGCAGAACATCATGCGAGAGTTCTCTAGGGAGAGGGCGCGAAGAAAGGTAGTTGTTAGTGGCAGATGGAACGCTGGAAGAACTCGAAAACAATCGCTTGTATGTAGACAGACTGCCGTGACATTCTAAAGGAGATTTGTGAGGTGAGTTGTACAGAGCAACTGACATGAGTCCAAGAGAGAACATATCAGCAGATGAGTTGAGGTTGTTGTCGACCACAAAGTCAGGGGAGGTATAATCAAGATTGAGCTGTACCGTCTTAGGTAGTCGAGGATCCATGTTGAGGACTTCATATAAGTTGATCCCTTGGATAGATGTGGGCTTGTCGGATCCTTCAGGGGGGCTAGCAAAGGCCAATCCACTGATCTTCCAGTCAGACTGCGTCTTGTTAGTTGAGTTGTCATGATCTGCGTCTGGAATGACATGCCTTTGAGTTGATGAGAACCGAATCAGGCGTAAGGTTTCCATGTACGATACCGGCATTCTCATGCAGGAACTCGAGCGCTTTGCTGACTTGAAGCAGACCTTTTTGAATTTCTAGCTCATCGATCTCCAACTCTCTTCGTCTCTTGGTTCCGTCTGCATCCTCAGTCACGTATCGGCTAGACCTTCCACCGGGTCCTCCAGCTCGTTCCTGTTCGTCCTTGTCCTGCAAGAGACTGGATAGTGAAGCTGTGACAGATTCGGTAACGAATTGCAAGCCTCCACCTCGCGTCTCTTCCACAGGTTCGACCAACTCCAGAATGCTAGGATGTCGTAGCTTTGCAAGGCTAGAGGCTTCCTTCTTTAGTCGCTCAACAACTTCCTCGACCGTCTTTTTGAAGGAGGCTGCGCCAGAGCGGCCCAACGAGTTGCCATGGCTGTCCAACGACTTCCTGTCGAAGACAAAGACACTATATGGTTTTCCGGTTGATTTCTTTTTCGCATCAAAGATCTTCCAGGGACCAGCCGTCGAAGTCGGTGCTGAGGAGATGGAGTAATTGCCGGTGATGTTGGTGGCAGAGATGGACTTAAAGGCCGAGGAGAACATGTTGGCAGCTCTCCATGAATTGGGTCGCAAATATCGAGTCGGGCAAAGGGGGTCGTGGAAAGCAAATGCGTGATCGCCGCAAGCTTAGGGTCGCAGTGAAAGACGAAGTTCGTAGGGAAGTGAACAAGAGGCCGCTGATTGATCGTCGTTTAAGCTATAAGAGGAATCGGGATGACGTTGGTTGCGATCGCGCATTCCCCATAAGCGTCGGTAGGGGTATTGATAGAGTTGACAAATGTATCCTTACCTTGCTTTAGCTTTGGCTGGCAGTTTCCCCACGATAAGCTGATAACGCTTAGGTCTAACTTGTACCTAAGCAGGCAGCTACTAGTGCTGTACGTGCTCTAGTGGGTAACAGAAGAATTGACCTTTAACCTTTAGACGACAAAAAATAAATAGCCTAAGAAGTATGCTCTAAGTAGCATAAAGTGGCCTAGGAATTTAGTCTCTGATGCTCCCGGCGGCCAACTTTTCTAGTACCCTGATGGTGCTGTAACCCTTCCATGTCAGCTCAAACCCCCCCTGTCGTCGCTAAGCTGATGGGGCTTTTGCAGTGCTGCGTTTACGGAACTTTAAGTGACTTTACAGGAGGACTCATATACGGCCCGAGACGGCTGACAACGCCTGGGAACGGCTGTCCCTGCAAAGTACCTCGGGCGCACTTTGTAGCGAACCTCTAGAGTCGGTCGATTTCCAATTCATTGCCATCATCGAGCTCCGATACATCTCCGATCGTAGACAAATGCTGCTAGTACTTAAGTTGATATCCCACCTCGTCTGGACCCTCTAGAATATCGCACTTCATTTTAAAAAACTCTTGTTCTTCTGGTCTTTGTTCGACTTCAGCTTTTTCTTGCACCGTCCCAGCTTTTTACTACCAATTGATTTCTGAAAGTACACCAATGATGAGACCTATGCTCGTTCGCTCCGCTCTACGGAGCGCTCGCATGTCGAGCTTCAGACCGTTGTGCCAGGCGCAACGCTTCAGCATCAAGGCTGAGGCAGCCTCATCTATCAAGCCTCTAGGTCTAGATGCTTCAAAAGTTACCATTGAGAGAACGGGAAAGCCCAAGGGTCTCAGCAAGCCTGAGGATTTGGTGTTTGGAAGGGAGTTCACAGGTAAATAATACCATCCCCTGTCCACCACAAAAATGCGCTGGTAACACTTGCTAAAAATTTGACAGACCACATGCTTGCGATCGAATGGAATCAAGACGAAGGATGGTTGGAGCCCAAGATCACACCCTATCAAAACCTCTCTCTCGACCCTGCGACATGTGTCTTCCACTATGCCTTCGAGTGCTTCGAGGGCATGAAGGCCTACAAGGACAAGAACGGCAAGGTGCGACTATTCCGACCCGACAAGAACATGGCTCGACTCAACAAATCGGCTGCCCGTATCGCGCTCCCTACTTTTGAGCCTCATGACTTCACCGAGCTCATCTCCAAGCTCGCCAACCTTGACTCTCGTTTCATCCCCGACAAGCGGGGATACTCACTGTACCTCCGTCCCACCATGATCGGAACTCAAAAGACACTCGGCGTTGGTCCTCCTGGATCTGCTCTTCTTTACTGCATTGCTTCGCCCGTTGGTCCTTACTACCCCACTGGCTTCAAGGCTGTTTCTCTCGAGGCCACTGACTATGCTGTCCGTGCTTGGCCCGGTGGTGTTGGTGACAAGAAGCTGGGTGCCAACTATGCGCCCTGCATCGTTCCCCAGCTCCAGGCCGCCAGCCGTGGTTTCCAACAGAACCTCTGGCTGTTTGGTGAGGAGGAATACGTTACTGAGGTCGGCACCATGAACATGTTTGTCGCTCTCAAGAACAAGGAGACTGGCCAAAAGGAGCTTATCACAGCCCCCCTCGATGGCACTATTCTTGAAGGTGTCACTCGTGACTCTGTCCTGGAACTTGCTCGCGAGCGCCTTGCTCCCCAGGGCTGGAAGATCATCGAGCGCAAGTACACCATGAAGGAGCTTGCTGAGGCTGCTGATGAGGGCCGCCTGCTCGAGGCCTTCGGTACCGGAACAGCTGCCATTGTCAGCCCTGTCCGATCCATCTCTTGGAAGGGAAGATCCGTTGACTGCGGTCTATCCGAGATCGAAGAGTCTGGTGAGATTGCTCTCCAGATGAAAGAGTGGATCGAAGCCATCCAGTATGGTGACGAGGAGCACGAGTGGAGCTACGCTATCTAAGGTGATGATTATGTGTACGGCGTTATATAGCGGCTGGGAATAGACAAATCGGAATCAAAAATAATTACGCTCACAAGAAACGAAACATATTTGCTTTGCCACAATTGCTTGTTAAGGCTCACAATCAGCGATGCTAGCGAAAGTCCGAGGTTATGTCACAGACCCGTTTAGACGGCAGAACCCCAGCACGTCCAGCAATACCATTCTTCAAATGCAAATAACATGTACAATTGACCAACTTTCACTCTTTGTATGTCAAAATCTTCCGCTTAGTTCTTCTTATCCTGCTTAGATGGGTCAGGGAGAACTCCCTCCTGCTCTAACCTTCTTCGTGCCTCCTCGAGGGCCCAAGTAGAGACACTGCGTGACTGTTAGTACAATCCTTGTAATACATCCCGGCCAGAATTTCGCTCTTGAGAGATTGTAGCTCTCCAATTGCAATTTATATTCTCCGAGAGCAAATCACTCACGTAGTATCAGGCTTGAAGGCGAGTGCTACAGCGGTGGCGGCAAGACTTCCGAGAAGGATATAGGTAGGCCACTCCCAGCCCTCGGGCTCAGGCTTCTCGCCAGGCTTGACACCCCAAAGCCAGCCGGTGGGAGGATCGAATTGGTGCTCGCCACCACCTCCTCGTCGTCGGGCGGACACGGAGAAGGCTCTGGAGGAGAGGGGCTGTCGGACACAGCGTGCAGCGCGCAGAGGCGCGACAGCAGCGCGGATGAGGGCCATGGTATATCGTCGAGTTATCGGTTGAGGTGGAGCGATGGGATGGCGGGCGGTGGTTCAATGGCCGAGTGACGTTGTTGAGCGTGACGCTGGCTTGTTTGCTCTGAACGGATTCGTACAGCACCTAGGTAGACTAATTGCTGAAGTCCGATTTGATAGACTCACGTGACACGAGTCATAGCACCCCTGTCATTGGTGTTTGCAGGTACAAAGTACTTTTGCCTTCTTAACGTCTACGGACAAACGGGAGAATGATAACTATGCTAAACATGATCAATCATGGCTGCACCTATCATGAAATTTATTTTTACTCGTCATAGTCAAACTCACTATTACTATTTTCAAGCATATGTTCAACTGAGAGTCAATTGGTGAGAAGGGCATCACCACTTACCTACACGTCCCACTCTGCCTCATAATATTATCAAAATGAAACCATTTAGAACATAAAACCCGAGGTTAACACGTCAAATTATGTTGTTTTGTTTCCCTCCGATTTTTAGCAGTATCCCAATGCCTTTGACATCCCCTTGGCAAAAGTGATGTACGTCCTTGGCTTGGTCGAGGCCAAGAGAAGGAGGAGTACCAATGATTCCAGACAAAAGACGGATGGGCATATTCGCGGTCACTGCTAACAAGAAACAGGTTCGAGGACAAAAGCATTTGAATTATTATGAAGAAGATGCTGATGATTCGCCTCAGCAGCTTAATTGATCCTATCTTAACTGTATCCTGTTCATGCCATGCTATAACAGCTCGCTAATCAAACATATGCGCCATTGGTCATTTCGTTCAATATATCCCTCGTGATAAGTTTTCCCTTTAATAACGCCTTGTCGCTAATCCTGGCCGTTTTTGGTGAATGCCTACGATTCTCCTTTCCAATGGTTTTCCTGCGTGGTGACTTTGTCTTTTGCGTAGCACCCGCGGTCGTAATTTGTGTGCCAAAGTCCTCAAAATAATGGCTCTCCAATGCATTTGCAGGCATTTCATAAATCCAATTTCGATCCTCCATGAGAGAGATGAATTGGCTCAACATGCTGTCGCTCCCGCTGCCCTTTAACGTCGATTTGCTTCCCACAACGAGCAGCTTCGTCTTTGCTCGCGTGAACGCAACATTAATTCGTCTCCAATCTTTCAATAAGTCTCCAATATTGCAAGCTTCGTTGCTTCGTACCAGACTAAGGACTATAACCTCCTTGTCTCGACCTTGAAAACGGTCTGTTGTGTGCATCTCTACTCCAGAGAATGCTTTGAGCTTGTCTTTCAGCATAAATAGCTGCGCTCGATAATGTGTCATAACACCAATATCTGTATCCGGAACTCCAACGGTTAACAAACTTTCAACAAGCTGAGAGACGATGCGAACTTCAGCTGAGTTGACAATACGTTTGCCTTGGGCCTCTTCACGTACAGGTGGCTGGATGGTGTCAGTGTTAATGAAACGCACCCGAGCCTCACTGTCAAGAAGGTCGTATAGCCAGCATCGGTTGGGGCCAGGCGCAGAACAGAACGATCGAGGCGTTGCTGCGTGAATAGTTGACGCATCGTAATGATGCTGCATCAGAGCCTCCATGCGCGGAACGTAAAGTTTCTTCTTTTTGAGTTGTTCTGTGCCGCACCGAAGCTTTCCGTCATAAATCAACGTGTTACTAAGAGTCATGATGTCTTCGCACATACGATACTGGTGTTCCAGATTGACAACCGACTCGGGATGGGTGTCGGATAATAGTTTGAACAAACTGACATCAAGACCACCTTCACGCGCCTCCTCGTTCCTCACCACAGGAGGCAGTTGGTTGTGATCGCCAACGAGGACGAAGGTTCGAGCCATTCTGATGGGACCTGCGCAAATGGGCAGAGTAATCTGAGATGCCTCGTCCACAATGCAATAGTCGAATGTCCGCTCATGGAATACGGGATGGTTGATACCGAGACACGTTGTTGCAACAATCGGTGTTCCGTGCCAAGCTTCCTTGATCTCTTCAAACGACTTCATCGGATGGCCGGCAAGAGTAGCAAACTGCTGAACTTGAGGGTGCACCTTAGCAGGGGCGCCAAGACGAAGAATAGGTATCCTGTCCGACTCGAGTTTAAGGAGAATATTGTCGACGGCTGTGTGGGTGTGTGAAGTAAGAAGTACACTCTTCCCTTGGGATGTAAGAGCCCGGATGATGTGAGCAATAGTTGTTGTTTTTCCAGTACCTGGCATTCCAAGAACAAGTGCGTAGTCTTGAGCACTCATAACCTTCTCGATGGCTCGATGTTGGTCTACATTGAGGTTGTCTTGATCCGATACCGTGTACTGAGTTGCGGCGGCCTTGAATCTAGGAGCCTCCAAGTCAACTATCAGTCGTCGGGTTTGCCTCGCCCCGAAAATGTCGTCTGCCATCATCTGCACGAGATTGTTTCGGACAGTTGCCATTCCATTGCTGAACTCGTCCTGGTCAAGTCGGTATCTGATAGGAGCCTCTTTAATCTTGCCACTAGTCTCATCTTGAGTTGCACCCTCGTGGGCGACATCCATGATACTGGCGAAGACCTGGTTATCAACCTCATCGAACCCAGGTTGTCGAATTCGAGCATTGTGTAGGCGTCTGTCAACCGCGACACTGATTCGCTGCCTCTTGACTGCCGTAACATAACCAATGGCCAAGGCAAAGTGGCCATCCTCGTCCGAAACCACGATCGGCTCGCCCACCGTCAGCTCAGACTCGAGGAATGAGAAGCCGGCAATCGGGTTTCGCTTAATAAAGGTGTAGTGATAACGATTGATCTTGGGGTTGTCTGTGTCGACTGATGCTGATCCCTCTTCAATAATAACATCGGCAAAGCACCGCGACTTCTTCTCGCGCTCGACGCTAGTCATCGTCCATAACTCTCTCTTGGTTTTCTGGCTCTCCTTTTCTTCCTTGGTAAGCAGATTCTCCCACTTGATGAAAAATTGCTGATGCTGGGGAGTCAAGTGTTTGACAAGCTCGTCGAATTTCTCATTCATTCCACTTGACTCTCCGTCACCGTCATCGGCCAGTCGATGGTAGATGAAGCATGATGTCTTTGCGTAGCATTTGCCACACATATGCTTGCTCTTGAGCATTGGCGGCAACTGAACGCTTCGCTCACGGACGTAGCATGCCAGCTGGTTTCGTTGCATAATCATATGTCGGAGTTCATGTCGAATCGCAGGAATGCGCATTGTTTTTGACGTTTCCATGTAGTAGAGAATGCCATACGCGATCTCAATATCATATCGATCCGACAAGAGCAGTGTGTAGAGTGCAGTCTGTGCCATGTGGTTGCTGTTTGCGTGCTTGCCAGTTTTGACCTCGAACGGCACAGTCAAGGTGCGAGAACTCTTTCCATCTTGCATCACAACTTCAACGGTCGCGTCGATATTGCCCTTCAGTCCGTACATCGGAGACCAAACATGTTCTTCAACGTCCAGAAGCTTAGTAACAGCCATGTTGGCTTTCTTTCCGTTTCGGTCTTCAACGACTGCATCAGGTTTGGCTTGCGAAGATACGAAAGCACCAGCCCAATAGCTCAACTCTGTCATCTTCGACTGCAAGTGCTCTCTGGCCGACGGTATGCCGACCTTGATGGTGTAAAGATCTTCGACATGCTTTTCTGTGATCCGCTCAATGACTGCGCATAGGAATGGCAGATCCCACTTGTTGGCAAGGAGTGCCTCCTGGAATATTTCGTGTAGCATGGTGCCGTAAATGAGTGGTGGTGTCGGTGGGCTGGTAGCTTTGACTCGGTCTTGGAGCACAGCGCGACGCATGCACCCAAAAGAATCAGCAACTACAGTGGCGGATATAAGTTGGTCAGGATGTAAAATGAGAAGATTTTGCGCATCATCGACAACGCATTGTCCTCTTGCAGTGAAGTCGCCTATGACGTGGACATAGGCGTCTGCATGGGCTGGTGTATCATACCACGACCCTCTCAAATGAACCGTCTTGATGTCTTTCGAGTTGTCGGCCTGGATAAGAAGGATCTAAAGTCGCTATTAGTAAAATTTGAATACAGCCGCTGACTGCCCTACCTTTTCTGGTCTTGCATTCCCGTACTGATCCGCGTGTTCGCCCTCTAAAACATTCGTAACCAGGTATCGTTGAATTGTTTTGGGTTTCCGGCTCTACCTGTCACTTAGCATATGGTGGATCCTCCTAGGTTGTGCGACGTACGTCTCCGGAGGAATTTTGGGCTGCTTGAGTTGCTGCCAATTCCACGGCTTCGAAATCAAAGTCTCCTTCAAAGGCATCTCCAAAGTCCTCGTCCAAATCTTCGGGTCTTGCTGTTTTGGGGGCTTGAGGTACCTGTTGCGAATCGGTTGTTATGAGGTCTTCCGCTTCGTTGAAGATGTCATCGTCCAGGTCCTCAAATTCATCCAGTAGCTTGTCATCAAACTCGTCCAGTACTGTGTTTTTGGGCGTCGCTGCCTTTGGTTGCGTTTCCATTTCTGATTGTGTTGCAGTAATGCTCGCTTCCAATTGCAATATGGTGTCGTCGTCAAACTCGCCAAAGTCATCATCCCCATAGTCCGAGGAAGCAGGCTCTGGGGCCTTGATTGGGGTCGGCGATCGAGCTTGTTTCTGCGCAGGGGCTTGCATAGGTGGCGGTATCTGGGGTTGAGGTCTAGGTTGAGGTTTTATCTGGACTGGAGAGCCACTACTAGTAGCACATATCCGCCTCTTCTTAGGAGAAGGAGATTCTGGTGTATCTTGAGGCTCCTCGCTCTGCCCGTTGATGCTACTAGTCACCGTATCGAGTAACGCCGTTACCATTGAAGATTTCGAAGCCTCCAGATCTTCCTTCTCGCTGCTTAGTCGACTTCCCGAAGTCGATCTTTCTATTCTTCTCCTCTTAGGCCAGTTCAGCCCACAACTTATCGCTCGTCGTAGACTAGCTTCACCAGCCGCTGGTTTCATCGGCCTTGGCGAAGACGATACCATCAGCTGCGCCAGTGTTGGGTTTGCTAGTCCGAGGGGGGTTTCCGCAGTATCGTGTCCATTTAGGGAGTATCGATCCCAGAGCTCTAACGTAGGGTCTGCTTGTGGAGACTTGAGGGCCTGTGCTAGCTTTTTAACGTTGACTGAAGGCGTATTTGGCTTTTCCGCAATTGGTGAAGATACAGGCGACGAGCTTCTGGCACGTTTTCTTCCTTTTCGAGTCAACATGGGTGACAGTGCGTTCAAATAAAGATTGTCCTGTCTGTTGTCCCAAAGTAGTCGATCATTTGGCGAAGCTGTCTCATCATCAGCTTCGCCACTTTCCATTAGGTCTCGCCAGGTCAATCGGGTGGCAGGCGTGGTCGTTACATCGTCCGTGGTTCGACAATTTGCTGTGTTTTGCTTGTTCTCCGTGTCGTCTGGAACAGATTCGCCGGGTTTTGGGTGGTATTGAAATCTATTAAGTCTATTCTTGGTGACCTCAGACACTGGCTGGAGAGGGCGAGGCCTGGGCTGTTGCAGCACGGGGTTGCTCCTCGAGCGCTGCCATGGAGAGCGCTACAATAATTAGCCGTGGTCAAATGATAGTTTTTGTATCGTACCTTATTTCTGCCCACCTGATCCGAATAGGATTTCTGGAAAGTCATTATACTTTACAGAGCTTGAACATGTGAGTTTTCAATCTCGTCAAGCACGATGATAGTGGGACATTTGAATTGAATGTAGGGAATGGCACGCGTTTAATGACTTGAACGCGTCGCGATCGCGGTACCCCTTGCAATTGTTGCTGCCAGATCACGTGCTCGATAATCTAGCTCCAGGAGGTATGTATGCAAACCCCAGCTAATGTCCAGCAGCTAGAGCTAGGTACTCCACACCACGAACAGTATGTGCGTCAGTGGACCGAGCTTCTCAGCGTCACCATTTTTGGTCCCGCCAATTCCGTCATTCGACGATCTTTGATATTAAATTGTCAATTCGCAACGTCCACCAGAGGCTTGGCTCCCTGTAGCTCATACCTATACTCACAATGGCGATGAACCCTCAACCCAATGGCCCTGGGTCCGCTCAATCGAGAGAAAACTACAAACACTCCATGCAGGAATGGCGCCAAGCTGCACTCTCCCAGCGCAACCAATATGAACCCCGCGTAAAAGAGCAGGTCACTCGATCGTTTCACGAATACTCTCCCCCATTTTACGCCTCAATCATCGGATATCGACGTGATTGGAACCTCCTAGTTGCAACTTCACGAGTCTCGGGCTTTGCTGCTACGCTCGGTAGAGATCTTGAGGATGAAGAAGCAAAGGCCATCGCCGAATACACCCTCGACAACATTCATACCAACGCCAGTCTGAAATGGCTGAGCGTCGCACTCGCTGGATATATGACCTATCGTGGACGTCGCACCTGGCAATTCCCCTTTTATAAGCCCAAGCTTGGTGGCCGATTCAACCCTAACGAGGCTACCAGCATATTCACCAACAAGAAGATCAGAGGTGCCTACCCTCGGTTTACATGGCATACGCTCCGGTTCACTGCCTATGTTGCCGTCACGATGCTCATGGTTGAGCCCGCCTTTCGAGCTGTCAATTTTATCAGGACCGAAACTGCCATGACACACGACCCAAGGTTAAAACAGTTCACTAAAGATGCAAGCCAACGTGTTGAGCAGGTCATGTCAAATCCTAGCGTTTCAAAGACCGCCTTTACAGGCAGAGACGCACATAGGGGTGGAGATGATGACCCCTGGGCCAGCAACGAAGCAAACAATGCCAGCTCCGAGAGCAGATATCAGTCATATCAGTCTGCTCCCACACAATCTTGGGACAAAGTCCATTCTTCAACCTCTACCCAACAGAGTCAACAGCCGCCCAATGATGACTGGAGTGTCCTAGACGATGATGATGCATCGCCTGTCGCTGCCTCTGCTCGCAAGCAGCCGGTTTCTGCTCCTTCAGGCTCTGCATGGGACCGCATTCGACAACAGTCACAGGGTGCTCCTCGACAGCAGCAGCAATCCGATTACCAGTCTCGAGCTTGGGCGGCCCATTCTCAAACCGAATCACAACCGCAGTCACAGTCTGGTTGGGGCAACCAGGATGCTGGTGGCTCCGCTGATAGCTTCTCATTCAGCAAGTCGGACGAGGAAAGGACTGTTGCCAAGGAACAAGCACAGAATGAATTTGACCGGCTGCTTGAAAGAGAAAGAAGTGGTGTGGACCAAAAGAACCCTTGGGGACGTAAGTAGAACAAGTGATGTATATCGAACAGTGTATTAGTATATAAACTCAGTGCTGAGAAAGTGAGTAGCGATCTGGCTCAAGAACTCGTTCCAACAGATGGAAGCTCTGTGGTATGCGTGATCTAGAGCCAGAAAACTTGATACTTGACTAAGAGAAAAAATAATTTACTTTGTATCTCCTTGAATCCGCTCTTGGACTGGTTATTTTCCGTATTTTAAGCTGGTCTTGAATTTTCTGTTATCCCCATAGAGTGATTGCACTGCACTATGGGTTTGGTAATACCAATAAAACCCTTTAACAAGAGAAATAGACTGGTTTCTAAAATAGTTCAATCATTTTTCTCCGTTCATCAGGACTATAATGTTTTTGACATTGGCTCGATCATGTACATGTCGACTGTCTAGGGTAACCGGACCGGTGCTGGTTCAAATTCTCGGAGAACTGGAGGTTTAGTAGCTGCAGAAACATGGCGTCAGAACGAACCTCTTTAGGAAAGCAATAAATACTTCACTGGGGAGTGGATGGGGTATATGGGATATGATTCGACTGCAGGATCGTGATTGTCAGATGTCCAGGGAAAGACAAAGTTTTGGAAGACGTCTCTTGTTCACAGCTCAGTACAGCAATCTGCAACGACACTATCAAAAGTCTAGAATCTTCAGTTCTGGGATCGTCGTCGGGCTTGACCTTGGCTGAGTCGAGACCGTATTGCTAGTCACGAGACATTATTGTTTAATCTGGAGTTTTCCAGACCGATGTACTTATTCAACGTTTGCCAACAACATTTTCACTTGCAATGTATGTTTTGTTAGTTCTTTTCAGCTGGTCAGACGACCGTCAACAAGTTTACTCACCGTAGTGTCCAGTAAAATGCCGTCGAGTAAGCGTCATCCCTTGACCTCTTGTGGACGACGCAAATAGCAACTGATAAGTGATAATAGAACATAACCGGGTCTAGTAAACCATGGATCGCGTGGTGGGGAACATGCTGCAAGAGTTCCCCGCCATGATGAACGATGGCGGGTCGGCGGCAGTAAAGTGTCGAGTACCTGTAGCTATCCGTACCTCGTACTGTTATTTATGATACTCATTGTCGTATAGAGTTAATGCATCTTGAAAGACAGGAATAGCTTCGGTGTTGATTGTTGTTGCACCGCGCGTCTCAGGTTTCACTCTGTGACCGAATTGGATAGAAATATAATCATAGACTCATGGAACTCAAAGAATTGAACTGGAGAAAGACTGTTTCCGTTCAGGGACATTGGCATCATTGGATGCGGGGTGCACTGTAGCCAAGTCTCCTGCAAGTGACGAAAATGCTTTGTTTGGCAGCTTCAAGGTAAGCTTCACAACAGAGATCGACAATGGGTTGAGGTTATAAGAAGCACTCAATTCGTGTTTGACTACAATCAGGACTGACAATAAATAGCTGAAACTTGAAACATGAGCTTCGCAACAAGTTTACCATCTGGAAGCACTTGTAAAACATCTTATGGACCTTTCAACTCCATCATCTAGTCACAGTATTGATCAGAAAAGTCCCACACCGTCTCACTTGGCGTCTTTATCCTATCCCTGTTTTCACAACTTTAGTGACGACGGGACAAAGTCACCAGTTCCCGGTGGCACTGGACTCGACTGGATCCTTTCTCCCAACGACATATGTCACCTGGACGCTCAATTTTGTTTTGTATTGATGATGCCAGAGTCGAGTACATATATAAATAGGTCAGTCCTCATTGCTTTACAGTAACTTATCCTATCTGTTTGTTTCTAAACCCCTGCCAGATTCGTCGCTTGCTTTGATTCCTTCCTCTAACTAATACCGGCATACTATATACCAATCACGGCTCTCTCATTGGTAAGTTTCTGTCCCTGAACAAAATATCAAATCGTATCGGTGTGCGACGGGCGCAACTCTGGTGGGCGCAGCAGGGTGCGCCATAGCGGGCATTTTCCAATGCTTCTGATAGCAACGGATCCGATCCATTTACAAGCGCCACATTCAGCGTGTAAATCGTGGATCCGATAAGCAACAGGGGCCGCCCAGATGCAACCTTCAGCACCGTGCCTGTTCTGTACTGTACTGCCAAAACTTGTAACCGGTTCAGGCACAGACAGGTACAGGCACATGGATGGGATGTGATGCGACGGGAGCTGGTTTGGTCTGGTCTTCTTTGGAGACCAACTACCAAAAAGTCTTTAAATACCAGTCTTTCCCCCTGTCGCTAAAAGCGCCAAAAAGTCCATGCTATGCTCTCCAATTGCTTTGGTTCCGCACTTATCCTTTGATCTTCATACTAATCGCTTAGTCCTGACCCATTGTCGGTTGCTCTAGGTGCCATCACGCAGCCATCCATCGTCTTACACGCAAGCAACCAGACTTGCTCTCTTATTTTGTTTCTGCAATATTTCTTTCTCGCTCTCCCCCGAGCTTCTAAACATCAGGAATGACCGCCGCCGCCATGCAACAACCTCCCGCCATCCCGCCTCGTCCGGCTAAGAGCCAGGACGGCAACGAGTCCGCGGCCGACGTCCCCAAGATCCCGCCTCGTCCTACGAAACGACCCGACCGCTCGATATCTCCCAACCCTGCCCGTTTCGCTCCATCGCCTTTCAACGAGGGCATCCCTAAAAAGAGCCCTATTTCTGCCCGATTCAACCCCAGTGATGCTCAACAGGAGCCAATCAAGCGCCCTACAAGCGTCTCCATGCCTTCTATTGGTCAGGAGGGTGCTGAGTACAGCGCCGTGACCCATGAGATCAAGCCCGAAGAGGTTCAGGCTCCAGAACAGGAGGAAGCTGCGTCACCTGAACAGACACGTACCATCGCTGAGGACCTCAAACTCCATGCTCCCAAGCCTTCCCTGCCAGCTCAGAGCGCCAAGCAGCGTGTCCAAGCTGTCACCCGCACCGATTCCGATAAGGCAGCACAGTTCGGCATTGGTCGCCCCGGATCTACCCAAGCCACAAAGCAGTCAAGCACCAATGTTTCGGTTAGCGATGGCCGCCAAGAGGTTGAGGATGACCATGGCATCCCTGAAATCGGCCAACGTGTGCCTATGAACCCTCATCTGGGTGATGTCCAGGCTCCTTCACCTGGCCCTGGTTCAGAGGAATTCAAGAAGCACCATCATCGCAAGCACAGCTCTCGTGGTGGGCCCCCAGGTAGCTATGGCCTTCACGGTCATGGCGTTGCTCCCCAGGATAAGCTTGACAAGGAATACTACGAAAAGCATCCTGAGGTCCTCAAGAGGGAGCATCAGACTCCACTACATGATCGTCAGAATGACTTTGCCATGAGCAAGGATGACCTGAACAAGTTGGTTAGAGATACACGATCTCGTGGCGCGGGCCTGAGTAAGTACCATATCTACTCCAAAAAGCAATAGCTAACAATCGCAGGCGCATCGGGTTACCAATCTACACCCACAGACGAGGTTGGTTTCCAAGCCACTGAAGAGTACACCTCCCGTCTTTCACCCCGCCCTGCCTCTACCAGTGAAGGCAAGGTTCAGCCTATTTCGTTCAAATCGGAAATTATTAGCCCCGAGGGTGAACACACAGTGCACGTTGATGATCCCAAGCACCCTGAGTATCGGTCATATGGTGACGGTGATGCTGTTGTGGATGAGGAGCACAAGTACACTGCGCCCATCTTGGCCGAGGACGAGGTTCAGAGCGATGACCATCCTTACAGCCAACGACCCGCTGTTGAACCTGTTCATGACCGTGGAGATAACGGCGACTTTGATGAGCCCCTCAGCCGCCCTCTGAGCAGAACCAATCGACCCAAGAGCAGACCTACCAGCATCTATAAGAACAACGACTCTCAAGAGTTTGCTCCCACTTCTCTGGATGATGTTGAGGAATATGAGCCACTCTTCCCTGAAGAAGGCAACAAGGATGCCCAGAAGCCAGCACCCGGTAACAAAGCCAGGCACCATTTCCCCAGCAAGGACATTTGGGAGGATGCACCAGAGAGCGTGCACTACACTGTGGAGGTTTCGACCCCAGACCAAGCTGGGCAGGTAGAGCATGCAGAGCCAGAGGAGGAACCCCGACGACGATCATCCGCTATGGACCGTCCCAAGACCCCTGCTCATCTCTTTGCTCAGAGACAAGAAGAACTCGCAGAGCAAGAAGCGAATGGTCCTGTAGATGTCCAACCTCCTAAGAACCATGATAAGTCTATCTGGTACGAATCAAAGGAATCGGACTCCTTCCTCAACAATAACAAGAGACCTTCTGCAGGCCAGCGATTCCCTAGCCGAGATATTTGGGAAGATGCCCCAGAGAGTCAACTTTACGAGACTACCGTCGATTCTCCTCAGCCTCAGGTCGAGACAAAAGATGAGCCTAAGGAAGAACTTAAGGAAGAGTCCAAGGAAGAACCCAAGGAGCAAAGTAAGCCTGCCATCCCTGAGCGACCGGCCAGGAAATCATCCGAAGACCGTCCTTCGATTCCCGAGCGACCCAAGTCCAGGCCGCCTGTCTCGGAGAAGCCAAAACCTAGCATCCCTCCTCGACCCACCAAGTCTTCTTCGGGAGATTCGATCGAGACCAAGCAGAAGCCTCCTGTTCCTAGCAGACCTGCTGGTAGCAAGATTGCTGCGCTTCAAGCAGGTTTCATGAGTGACCTGAACAAGCGTTTGAAGCTGGGACCACATGTTCTTCCTAAAAAGGAGGAGCCAAAGGCCGAGGAGGATTTGACGCAGGAGAAGGAGAAGGCTCCGCTCTCAGATGCTCGTAAGGGCCGAGCTCGAGGTCCACAACGCCGAGCTCCGGCAAGAAGCCCGGCTGCCGTTGCTACAACCGCGCCCGCACAACCTGCAGCTCCCTCGTTAACATTCTCTGTTCCTCAGACCTTCTGGTCCATCAGTCCTGAAGGCTCTTTGTCTGTTTCTGGAGAGCAAACTCCTACTTCTGAGCCCGCTACTGAACCCACGAGTGAGCCTGTATCCGAGTCTGTGCCTGAACCTACGTCGGTACCTGAGCCCGAATCTGCTTCAAAGCCAGAGCCAGAGCCAGTCGAGGAGAAGAAGGAGGACACAGTTGATGTGCCCACAGAACCCCAGGAAGCGCTGCCCAAGTCAGAACCTAACCTGGAGCCCAAGCCAGAAATTCGCGGCGAGCCTGAGTCAGAATCTGTTCCTGTGCATAGGGACCCTGAGCCTGCAGCTGGAAAACTTCCTCAAGAGGCCGAACCCACACTTCCTGCGCAGCAGCCCGCTGTCGAACCTTCTCAGGAGCCAGCCCAGGAAGCACCAGCCCAGGAGGTGCCAACACAGGAACCCCAGCATGAGCAAGAGCCTGTTCAGATGGAGAAGAGCCTTGTTGCCAACACCGCTGGCGAGAGTATTTTGGAGACGACTGTGGATAAGAAGGAGGGCGGTGATGTAGTCGAACCTGTTGGAGTGTCTGATGAAGTCAAGTAGTAAACGAAAGATGATAACAATCGATCTTAGTAGGATATAGGCACATCGTAGACGCCTTGGCCGGCAATAACCGCAAACTCAAAATTTGTCTCGAGTTCTTTAGTCGAAAACAAAATTAATCATTTAAAACAATAGTGTTGGTAGTACTTACGCTAGTAGTTTATTCTACGTAATATACAACCTCCGACAATCACTGTTCAAGTATTAGTCTTGTCTCTACCACATATCTGGAACTTGTCACTCGCTCCTTCAATCTTGATCTGATGTCGGATTGTAGTCAGGATACGGGCCGGTATGTCTTTCAAGGAGTACAGCTTCTCAGTGCCCTCTGAAGCAAAGAGGAATCGCTGTATGGTGCCGCTGCTAGACAATGCGGATTCCTGTCCACAGGGTAAGTTGATAGTAATAAGTTAATGATGAATGTAGCAAAACTCTCGAGTGTTACACTTCGGTCACGAAACGTTTAAGACGACTTGCCTTAAATAAAACGATCTAACCACTTTATGTCGTCTTGGACTATTTATGTTCTTTATCCTAAGCTTAGGTCTCACATTCTCTGCCGATCTCTAGAATGTTCGATAGAAGATCTTCGCAGGCGTCTACTGACCAGTCTCTTTGATTGATCTATTGTCCATTACCTGGTTCGTTGCTCAGGAGTTTCGCTTGCATCATCCACGACGCCAAGTTCATCAAAGCTCGAAGCACCCGAGATGGCAGCAGCACAGATAACAGCCCATTGGATATCAAACATCTGGTGACAGTGAACGATTTCGTATCGCGGATAATGTTGAAGATATCATGTCTTGATAGGCTGACCAGATTTATAGTCTCGAGCACCAATCTTTGAGACCTCTAGGCAAGTTGTACAATATTTCTTAGGGCAAACATGTTGCTCTCCGCCATGGAAATGCCCAGTTCAGATCTAAGCGTGTCGACGTCTGCGACAGATGATGGCGAGATGAGCATTGCCGTGAGGTAATCTCTCCTGGTGTATAACTCTTGGGTTGAGCGGGTGTCAAGGACAGCTCGGTCACCCAAGTACTTCAGGACAAGGCTCAAAAACCCCTTGGTTATAGTGTTATTGTAGTGTTCTTAAAATTATATTTTAACGCAATGTTTTAGTTTTGATATTTTAGCCTTATGGTGTTATTAGGAAAGGAACTTACTATTCGGTTAACTTTACTGTCATACCTGTTTTCGGGTAACATTGTCAATGTCACTTTGTTTTTTATCCTTTCTGGAGATATATAGTGACAGAAGCCTAACATGTCTTCTTGTGTTGACTGTCTGCCTCCGCTCGCGTTTGCGGCCTTAGATCCTGGCAAAGTTGCTTATGAGGAGTCTTGGGACGCTATAAGAAGTGAACGTCTCATCGTCAGTATATACCGTAAGGCTTTTTGGGCACCATATATTAAATCGTAACGCCTCGAGAGCGAATGCCTACCTCACGTACGCTTTAACAGTAGCATCAGGGTCTTCCTTGAAATGCCATGATTCCGGGGTTGTGGAAATCTTCAGAGACTTGAAGCTCGATGTATCACCAAGTTGATGCAACAGAGACTACAAATAGGTAGATATATAGGATAAAGACGTGCATAGACATTTATAAACACCATTAGCTACGTCTGGTAGTAGTTACAACGTGCAGGATATTCTGATGTGCAGGGGTGTGAGATGCGTGGAGGGGCGTGTATTTTGGAAATAATTGCGTGGGGTAATAAGGTACATATTAAGTGAGTGCCTGAGGGTAGGTGAGTTGCAGAAACGTCAGCCTCTAGGCTTTAGGATAAGAAAAAACAAACAAATAGCACTAAGAGCCATATCTAATATAGCATGAATGGCCAAGTTATTTCGTCTCTTAGGGATATAACACTGTTATCTGTGGTTGAGGAATGGCTAATTCTGTGGCAGCGTCAGGGTCCTGTCGCCAGGTCCACAAATGCGAGGATCCATGCCTCGTTGTTTATAAACAGGGCTGCATGTAAACCACTGCAGGTACCCGAGACCGGCCTAGTTCAATGCTTATGCTATATATATATTCGTTTCTTAAGGCACTGACTGATAAAAGATAGGAGTAGCTGCAAGAAAACGCTTAGATGATGATATATTGTTGTGCTGATAATTTATTCTCGGAGCAGCGTACGTAAACTATACTACGAGTCTATAGCCATTCAGGTAAATATATCATACCATCCATTCTACGACACAGTTCACAGTATGGAATATTTACATACCTAGTAGGGGAAATGTAGACTGATAATTAGGTATGCAATACAAGAAGCTATACTCATCATGTGATGTCCCAGAAGTATTCCTATCCCCGTCTAGATAGTATCTGGGATGGCGATAAGATAGCCTCTTTACTGCGTGTATTGGCAACACCTGCATCTACCACTTAGTTTTGATTTATTTGAAGCTTGGTGAAGCTGTGTGGAGCGTTTCTAGAGTTACTTGCCGAGTGATGGAGTTGCACCCTGCTCTTGTGACTGATAGTGACTACTAGTGCCAGTGACTGACAGTTGGTAGGTTAATGAAATTTCTCTTCGATTTTGCCTGCCTTGCATCTATGTATGCATCTGCTTACTGGTTGCTGCCTAATGCGTTCCAGTAGTCATGTGGCCTACATTTTTATTCAAAAAAAAAAAAAAAAAGACTCCATCACCATTCAATCACAAGCATCATCGAGTATCACCAAGCACACTCAACAACAGCACTATAAACAACAACTACTATTACCTTGCGTCAAGATGGACTTCATCAATAGTAATCAGACTACCGCTGAACAGGCCAGAATCCTCGAAGATGCCGAAGACCATCCTCTCAAGCCTGGAGTAAAACACTCCGCGAACTATTTCCAACTCCTGGCTGAGCGCAGAAGATTGCCTGTGTCCGCTGCCCACCAGGAATTCCTAGACGTCTACCACAGAAACAAGGTTTATCCATCTACTCATCATCAACGTGCCACACATACTCAAAATATTTCCCAAGGTGGTCGTTCTTACAAGCGAAACCGGCACCGGCAAGATAACCCAGATCCCCCCAGTTTGTCGTTTTTGACGAGGCCAAGAGAGGTCTGGTGGCTTGCACGCAGCCCCGTCGTCTTGTAGCAAAAGATGCAGCAACTCGAGTTGCCGCAGAGATAGACATCACGCTAGGCGAGGAGGTTGGCTACAGCGTGCACTTCGATGAGAAACCGAGCGACAATAGCATCCTCAGGTACATGACCGATGGACGGCTGCTGCAAGAGGCACAGCGAGACCAAACTTTCCAGGCCTATGTGAATACCTTTATCCAAGACCTTTGTATACAATGATGCTAATGGTAATTATTAGTCTTGCGTAATCATCAACGAAGCCCATAAGCAAACACTGCCGACTGACATTCTCATAGGTCTTCTCAAGAAAGCCATACAAGTACGTGATAACCTCAAAGTCGTCATCATATCTGCCACCATGAATGTGGAAAGATTCGTTAAGTATTTCGGCCAGGCAGAGGCTTTCAACGTCAGCAGCAAGGCCTACCCGGTTAAGATCCACTGGCTCGAAGAACCGACTGTAGACTGGCGTTGCCTTACTCTAAACTTTGTAAAGAATATCTGCAACAACATGCCTGTCGGTGACATTCTACTGTTTATGCCCACTGTCAAAGATACGTTACAATGATCCATCAACAAGGTGCTCGGAAACAAGCTGGTAGCGCTGCATTTGTATTATGGGCTCAACGCCGCCGAGCAGCGGAGAGCTATATTTTCTTCAACCGACCCCCTTCGCAAATGTATCGTATCAACCAATATTGCTGAAACCAGTCTAACCATTGATAGGATTGTCTATGTCATTGGTAAGTGATAACCACCAACCTCACGCCAAAGACAGATAGAGATACTGACCCCTGGCTAGATACTGGTATTGAAAAGAAGTCGGGATACAATGCTCGAGCAGATATGGACACTCTCATTACTGCCACTGTGACCCAAGCGTCTGCCAAGCAGCAAGCTGGTCGAGCCGGTCGAACAAAGCCGGGGACATGCATCCGTCTGTATACTGAGAAGACATTCTTGGAGGACTTCGCTCCCTATGCATGGCCAGGAATAAAGACTTCCCCGGTTACCACGGAAGTCTTGAGACTGATGTCCATGGACATCAACGTCGTCGATTTCGACTTCATCACCCTTCCTCCCATGGAAAACTTTCTTCGGGCTTTATACGAGCTCAAGGCAATGTAAGTTGGCTGTCCACTTGAGAGGAACATACTGACTATCTCAAAGGGACCTCATTACAGACCATGGCGTAATCAACGGCCGCGGTCGCAATGCCGCTAAATTCCCCATGGACCCTCAGTGGTGGAATGCTATCTCGGAAGGGCAGAACCTCGGGTGCGGTGTTGACATTATCGCGATTACCGCCATCGCAAGCACTCAAAACTCGATGTTCCTGCGTCCCTGGAATGTCAGAACTGCTGCTGATGCGTCAAGAGCCCGATTCGCCTGTCCAGATTCGGATCACGTTGCTCAACTGAATGCTCTGCATGGCTATGTCCGCACCAAGCACACCGCCAAAGACATGGACCTAGATCAATGGTGCTCCGATGCCTTCATTGACCGAAAGGTGATGGAGGAAGCCCTTCAGATTCGACAACAGCTGATCAACATCGCCGAGGAAATCTTTGATCAGCTCCTTACGTCCGGAACAGGCGACGATGAGTATGAAATCAGCATCAGAAAGGCTTTGGCACGGGGCATACCCTAGAACATTGCTATCAATAAATGCGAAGATATTTACATGATCGTTAATTATGATTTCCCAAGCCTTCTCGCCATTGAAAGCTGCCTGGTCGGCCAGAAGTATAAATTGGTTGTGTTCAACGCCATTACTCACGTCGGAAAAACGTTCCTGGAAACTTCATCAGCGGTTGAGGCAGAGTGGCTTGTCGTAAGTCTAATGTTTTCACATGACACAACATACAGTACACTGATAACCGTTCTTATAGGATCTTCCTTTCTTCAAAGATGACCAACTCTCACGCAAGCTTGACGGCGATCTGCGATAACCTGTTCTTAAGGAACTACTTGATGCTGCCCGTGCTCGCATCTAGTCTTAGTTTATTCCGCTACTCACTGGCTACACCTTTGAACTCTTCTTCTTCTTCTTCTTTTTCTTCTTCTTCCTTATGGTAGGTAAAGATGCCTGCGAAGCCGTAGTCATTGATGACCCAGCGGAGGCACCAGAACGATGTGCTGGTACCTTTACGTGGTGTTCTGGGCCAGTAACAGAAGGCATACCTTCTGTGAAACTAAGATCAGCATGAAGAGGGATAGAGCCGACGATAGGAGCCGACACAACCATACGATACTACCTACGTGTAGGCTTCGGTATCCGTATCACCGCAGCATTCGAATTCTCATAACCTCAAGGCCGACCATCAAAGAACATTTGGTGTGTATGACCTTGCATCTAACTTTACACTTTCAATCTAGCGGTAACTCCGTAGCAGAAACCTTGAGATATAAGCTTAGGATACATATCACAGATAGCCTAAGACGAGATCTAAGACAGCATAAAGTAAACTAATTCGTCTTCTCCCCTAAAGTAAATAACGTCTAGGTTTCTGCGACCCCGAGAGCCTGTGTGAGGGTATCATGAGTATGATGAGAGCCTTTCAGTAATAGCATTGCTCACTGCTGTGCCCTATTCCGAGAGATTGGTCTAATTTCAAGTGTTGGGCGGACGACATTACTTAATGGATATGGGCAGAACGCTTGCACTGAATTGCGATATCCATATCCCAGTAACTACTCCCTGGAGCTTGGAGGCTCGACACGACACCCCCGTGCTTTCAAACGATAGGTTACCAACACAGCAGCATGAGATTGCCCAAAGTACAGTGCATATGATCAATTTTTAGAAACGTAACTCGAATAACACAGTCGTTGAAACTCGTACACTAAAAATAGCAACTTCAATCAAAACATGAGCCGTTCCTCATCCCAGACGCCAAATCCAGCTGGGTATACAGGCCACTGCCCTTGGCAGGTCCTCACTCGTCGAGATAAGCGGATTTTTTTCCACATCAGCATCCCTCCTCATTCGTGAGCTACTGAGAGCTCTGGTCACCTCCTCTACATGGCGAACTCTTCTGCTGTACGGTGCTCGGTCGTAAAGAGTGGTGTAGGTTTCGGATTGCCGTTACTCAATCAACTGGGCAGGTAGGCAATTGGTGCGCCTACACGATCATCTGCGCAACACCTTGACCACCGAGGGTCTTGCTGCCAACAAAGGCCTGTCCCTTGACACCAGCGAGGAGGTAGCAAAGGGCTGTTAGAAGCAGGAAGACAGCGGCGGCAATCAAACTGCTGGAGCCGCTGACAATGCTGATGAACTGCAGAGCAGACATGACACCGTAGGCGCCTGCGCGCATATAGTTGGTCGAAACCTTGCGAATGAGTTCGTCGAACTTGGAAGAAGTCGGGCAGATTCGGAGGAGAAGAGGGACCTCAATAAACAAGATGACGAACGACGATGCGCTGTACATTGTTAATCCAGGGTATGTGGCATGACGCTGAGGGAGCCTTACATGGCAAAAGCGCAAAAGATGATTCGGACAACATGGAACGAGAAAATGTTGGCGATTCCGACAGCCAGACAAATGATCATGGAAATAATTCCAAGCCTATACGCAAGCAATATTAGCCCCTTGTTGATGGCGCAGTTCGTTCGATATTGATCGAGTCGCAAAGAGCAGATTGATAGCTGGCGAGCTATGATTGAAGTTATATACAACTGTGGATAGGCGGCTTACCATTGTCCGTAGATGCCTACATATTTGTTAGTACTAGAAATTACCGGCGCAATAAGTTGAGAGCAACATACTGAAGTTTCGCGTTTGGAATTCTTCTTTGAGCGTCATATTGACAGCTTACGGCGAACGTTCGTATTCGGGAATAGAGAAGCCGAGGGAGATTGAGAGAGAGAATCGATGCGGGATCGAGTTATCAGAGAGTGGTATCGCGAGCAAAAAGGTTGCGATAATAGTCAGGATCGACTCGGAAAGGTGGAGAGATTGATCGTGGGTTTGGTAGCGTTGTGTTGTGACGACGAAAGGTCTAGAAATGAAGAACGTAGCCTTTTGGCAAATGACGGATGGAAATGGTTGCTGAGGTGGTCCCCAGTTTTGATTGGGGCTGGCGCAAGGCTTGGCTTTGAGTTATGTCGACAAAGCTAACCGGACAGGTGAGTGGAGGTCAGAGTAGGGGAAAGGGTCCCTGTAAGGAGGATGGACGGTGCGCTATTGACAGTCAATGTGAGACGTTGAAGGGTTCGGTTCCTTTGATGAAACACAACAACAAGCACATGTGGTTCCGTTTCGCGATCTTTGTCGTTTCTCTTTTCTTTGTGCGCTTTTGGACTTATACTACTTATCTACTATTTAGGCAGCTTTATTCTTTTTGCACAGCCAAGTGACGTACGTTGAATACGCGGCATTGCCAAGCCTCGCCCAGAACTCAGTGAAGCGGAGTTGTTCGCTTACATGTCCGACTCTTTCTCAGAGACACTTGACTGTTTTGCCAAGGTTATTCACGAGTCTTTCGAGGCTGGTCTCCATAATTGGACGGGTCTGTGCAGCGTAAAGATATCAAACATGAGGCTATTCGGAACTGCATCCGACACCAGGCATCCTTTTAAGACAGCATCATGTGGCTACAACAATCAGCACTAAAGGTACCTGCACCTTGAAATGTTCAACTCTGGTCTTCGAGAATCAATTGGCATTCTTGTATGAAGACAAGGCCATTGAAGACCCATCTGAGTCCCTCAGTATAGGCTTCATTGCCGTATCTTTTCTTGTAGTCATTCAGCCCTGTCACTAACATGCCATTGTTGTTAGGCTGTTGAAGATCGTATATCAACAACGTGGTTAGTGGGGTGGTTGCTGCAAGTGCGAATTGCCGAGGACTTCTACACTATTACATCATCTTCAACGCACTTAACCTCTTCTTCTCAAGGTACTAAGCTTAGCAAGCAATGTCCGGATCGCCGGTTTTTGAATGTTCAACTATAGTGCCGTTACCGCAGCATATCCTTAATTTCTCTCTGTTGCTCGCCATAATCATTTTCAAAACGTACCACTACCAAATGACATTGAAGAGACAAGATAATGACTTTTACCATTCTCTCAAATGATCAGGTCAACTCCATCTTGGAGGGCCTTAACATTGATGAGCTTGAAGAGTTTCGCCATGTACTGGCTTCGTCTCTTCACGAGTTCTCTACTGGAACACCAGCTTTGGAGGAGGCCTTCCAGGAACCAGAGCGTACCTCAACACTGCATCCGGAGACAATGGCCGAAACCCTTTACATGCCCTCATGCGCGCCATGCGGAATGGGTTGCAAAGGTGAGCTATTTCTGTTCTGACTGACGAGTTAAACTGACTTGTCAGTGGTATCTTCAACAGGTCTGGAAGCTCGTCGGTACTCAGACGATGCCGAGCAGCCTAGTCCGATTGGCGTTGTAAACTTGTTCATGCCAGACGGAACACCACTTGGCATCATAAATGCGACTACTTTAACGGCCTTTCGAACTGCACTGGCTTCAACCTGCCTTCTAGCGCGCCGTAATCACGTCAAAACCTTGACTGTATTTGGCAGTGGCCTTCAAGCTTACTGGCACATTCGACTTGCTCTTATGATGCGCGGTAGAACGATCAAGCGGGTTCATGTTATAAACCATCGATGGAGCGACAAGGCAACTGGACTATTGAAACGGTTCGCTAACATTGATCCGGAGGTCAAGCAACGGGAGGGCTGGTCAGACACCAAATTTGGACTATTGATTCCCGCGTTCCACGAGTATAAGCGCCTGGTAAAAGAGCAGGTAAGGGAAGCTGATGTGATATACTGTTGCACTACATCACAAAACGACCTGTTCGATGGGTCTATCTTGACGTCCCATGAGGGCCGCAGGAAAGGAAGACTTATCATCGCTGTGGGAAGTCTTACGCCGGATCATCGAGAGTTGCCAGAAGACCTGATACACTTGGCAGCCAAGAGGGACGACAAGCCACATCGCCATTTCCATAAGCATGCCATTGAAGGCGGAGTAATCGTTGTTGATAATATCAGAGGAGTACTCAAAGATGCGGGCGAAATCATAGCGGCTAATATTGGCCCTCATCAGATGGTCGAGTAAGTACTTATGGTGACTTCCAAAGACATAGCTAACACGCCACTGTAGGCTAGGAGAACTGGTGATGCTTCATCGTCTGGCTATAGAAGAGTCTGATGGATTTACCAGCAGCCAGACGTCTTTGACTTCAGACATGGATAAGATGGATGTACACGGCAGGAGCTCTATGTCAACCGTCTATGGTAGTGGAAGTAATACTAGCGAAACGCCAACAAGCCCTACGGGCTCTGTTGACTCCGAAGGGAGGAGGTCCAGCTCGTTCTTCCACTCGAGAAAGAGCTCCAGCAGCTCTTTGGACAAAGAAAAGAGGAAGTCTGAAGATCATCTTTGTCAGTGGTTACGAGACGGCACCGTAGTGTACAAGAGTGTCGGGCTAGGACTGATGGATTTGGTGGTGGGGACACATCTGATCGGGGTCGCAAGCGAAAAGAGTATAGGAACAAGGATAGATGGTTTCTAAACAAGATATATATTGAAATAAATACAAATGTGCTTCATAAATGCTGATTATAATAGTACATTCTTACTCGGCTACCCAGATGGCAGCCATACCCATACCAGTTCCTACACACATTGATGTTGCGCCGACCTTCTGGCCGGTTCTCTTCAACTCATATAGTAGGGTAGAGACTTGTCGGGCGCCGGTGCAGCCCAGAGGGTGACCAAAGGCAATGGCACCTCCCTTGGGGTTGATCTTCTCCTGGGGAATACCCAGCTCGTTGGCGCACCACAAGCACTGGCTGGCAAAAGCCTCGTTGATCTCCCAAATGTCGACATCATCCTTGGAGATACCAGCGAGGTCGAGAGCCTTAGGGATAGCCTTCCAGGGGCCCTGACCCATGAGGAGGGGCTTGACACCGACAATTGAGGCGCAGACGTACTTGCCGATAATCTTCTGTCCGAGCTTCTCAGCGGTAGATCGCTTCATGAGAAGAACAGCAGCGGCACCATCGGAGATCTGACTGGCGTTACCAGCGTGGATAGATCCGTCCTTAGCAAAGGCAGGGCGGATCTTGCCGAGGGACTCGACGGTGATGCCCTCTCGGACACCATCATCCTTGGAGACAGTGATTTCCTTGGTGTTACCCTCCTTGTCCTCGAACTTGACCTTGAGAGGAGCGATCTCCTCATCAAAGAGACCCTCTTTTTGGGCCTTGAGGGCCTTCTGGTATGATGCGGCGGCGAAAGTATCTTGCGCCTGTCGAGTGATACCGAGATCCTTGGCCATCTGCTCGGACAGAACACCCATAGGGACCTTGCAGTTGGCAGCCTCAGGGACCTTCTCGAATTCCTCGGAGAACTCAGCGACAGCGCCAGGACCGTAGTTGATAGACATGCTCTCAACACCAGCACCGATACCAATATCGATCATGCCAGTCTTGATCTGGTTGGCAACATCGACAGTAGCCTGGAGACCAGAAGAGCACTGTCGGTTGAGAGTTCGGACGGCGATGGACTCTGGGAAACCGGCGACCAAGCTGGCAGCTCGCATCTCAGTAGCACCACCACCGGGGGCGAGCACAGTTCCGACACACAGGTCCTCGACGAGGGCGGGGTTGATCTTTGAACGGTCGAGGATAGCCTTGAGGACTCCGGCCATCAAATCAGCAGCGTGTGTGTCCTTGAAACCACCACGGCCTCCCTTGGTGAATGCGCTTCGGCAGGCGGCGGTGACGACGATCTGCTAATGTTAGCGACCAATCCTGGCGCATAAAGTAGCTCTTCGCATCTCCTTAACTTACATCATCGGGGTTCTTCTGTAGGATCTTCTCACGACCGCCAGCGGTCGGGTTACCAGAGATCTGGCCTCCAATCTGAATAATGCGGTCGGTGACTAGGAACCAAGTTAGTTTGTCATCGTGGTAAGCGGAGCGCAAGACAGCTAAACATACCGCCCATTTTTGCTATGATGTAACTGAGTGTGATGTAGTAAAGAAGTTGAGGACTGGGTATAATGCGCAAGACAAAGACAGGAAGAGATGAAATATTTAGATGGAGGAGTAGTATCAGGGAGGATTAATATACAGAAAGATTCTCGGTAGACCTCGGATGTTGTGAGAGAAAAGAGATGGTGGGAAGCTTTGTCTGTCACAGGAGAAGAAGCTACATTAGTACGTTCAAGACCGAAGACCGACGCGCGGGACGGATTTCCCATTCTAAAAAAACTGGGGGACCGAGGCATCTTCTTGCCCCATGCTTAGCGTTGTTCTTTAGCGTCTCTTTTCCTAGCGTCCGATCACATGCCAGTTCTCAGTGGATTCCATTCCCCCAGCTTTTTTAATGTGCAGTAACGCGGGGAGAGAATCTCCAACGAAATGTTTCTTGACTTGTTGCGTCACAAGGTGACTAAGAAAATAGTTACTCCAAAAATGACGATTTAATGTGAATAAGTAAGCACGTGGCCTCGTTCTATCACATGGAAATATTCATTGATTTATTTTTGACCTGATTCATGCGCTGCCACCGCTACTGTACTATACTGTACTTTCCAACACGATGGGTATCGTTTAAGAAGAATAAAACTTGACTATGGGAATAAATAAAACCAACCTACTGTCAAGAAATAAAAGAAAAGAAAAAGATTATCTATAGGTAAAATAGTACCAAACTGACTCATCATTTCATACAGGTATCGTAAGATGAGGAATGCCCTCCGCACTCGGAAATCGCTGGGCTCCAAACACTTCTATCGTCATCTTGAAATGACTGAGATGCCAGCGATAGGGCATCCCACGGCGAACTAGAGTCTTCGCCAGAACCTGAGTCGCAAAGTGGCATAGGAACCGGCAATGAGTTGACAAAAGAAGTATCTACCCTGATCACCGGTATTACTGAAGATTCTGTCAATGCTCGGTTACGGCCAGGATTGAAGTGTTGTGGTATCGGGGACGTAAAAGCGTATTGTCCAAGGGCATCTTGAAGTTGATGTTGTTGCTGCGGCTGCATGTAAGAGGAAGGGCTGAAGTCGGCCCACGATGGATATTGGCTGGGAGGTGCAGACCTCGAGAGCGGCGAGACTGCTTCTGTGTTGGGGTTAGCCATCTTGGCCACTGAGCTAATTGAGACTGCATGTATGAATGTTACTCACCAACTTCATCAACCAGGCGAAGAGACTTGAGGGCATCAAGGCCCAGCTCAACACTGAACCGCTGATCTGGGAATTTCCCCAGTCGAATTCGCAATTCTTTTTGCATACTTCCAACCGTTTCCACATCAATTACGTCCAGCACGCACCAGTGTTTGGCATCCTTCCATCGTGTCTTGGGAACAGGGTGTATCTTGACACCCCAGTTACGAGCAAAGTCGTTATCAACGACACTCGACGCACGGTTGAGATAGCATTTTGCGATGCAGGGCACTTCGGTTGTCTTTGTTTTGAGAGTGATGCGAATCATTTGCCCGTCTTTGACTTTCGCTGACTGAGCTCTTGAAAGAGTCTGAAGGGGCTGTGTTGCGAGTGGCCAGTTTAAGTTATGCCCGGAAGGCTGTGCAACGGGAGACTGCCCTTGACTCGGCGGCTCATCATCCGGGAAAATGGCAGACTCATCAAAGGAAAATGGAGGAAATGGTGAAGACTCTTGCGGAGAGAGCAGAGGCGAAAATGACTGCGAATGTTGCGTTTGAGGTTGTATAGACGGGTCTGGGAAAGACAAAGTCTTCAATCGCCCTCCACTTCTGCTTCGCTGACGAACTGATTCAATAGAATGGGAGGCAACAGACGGACTACTTCGACGCCTTGTTCGATCTTTGGAAATAGGACTGAGACTTGTGGGTGACCGTGAACGACCTGAAGCCTGCCTGATAGTATCTTCAAGCACACTCAGTTTCAAGCGGCCAGGCCGAGAAGCCAGAGCTGGGTTACGCTGTCGATTCGGCGGGGTCATAACTTTTGGGGTATTGATAAAAATGGAAAATAGGCAGAGAGTAGAAGTGCCTGATTATAATGTTGGACGTTGCAAGAAAAAAGTAACAACGGTTGTGGCTGTTGGGTGAGTCGCCAGAGCTAAAACGTGAAACTTAAAACAGTAGAATATCGTAGTTTAGTCAAACCGGACTTAAGTAAAGTATATCAATACTCCGTATCTGCGTAAAGTAGAGAGAAAAATCTGCCAGGGTTTCCCAAACATCGCATCGTGTTAGGCAAGGTAGTCAATATGCAAGTATTGGTATCCAGTCATTGGGTGACATTGAGGATCACCACGCTTCTCGAACCCTAGGCGTACTGTCGGGTTGTCAGCTCAAGTCCTTGATTCCCGCAAAATATGTAGAAAACAAGGCCCTTGACTGGCCTTTGACGCCGGGTGCGATGCACAGCCTCTGTCAACCGAGTCGATGGAGGCTGTGCTAGGAGAGTGACGGTGAAATAAGAGCCGCCTTTCATGACTTGTGCGATCGAGACTGGCCACGCATGATTGAAAATGCGCTCTATCACAATTATGCTATGTCTCACTTTAAATCACAGTTACATTAAAAACAAGTGACTTTATAACTTTATGGTATGCCTAAATGCAGTTTCAACCTCATTTTATAAGGCGATTGCATATTGGGTTGACTAGCTTGACTACTGGTTGCTGCGCCTCTTGGAGGCATACTATTCGGGCGTCAGGCTCCGAAATAAGGAGCTTCTATCAATCGATATTGCAATAACATATTTGTTTACGCATGATGCGGCTCAACAATAAACACATTCGCCTGGCTGTCGTAATGAGCCGCATACTCAAGTGAGACGAATGTTGCCCATTTCAGTGCCGCCTAATGGATTTGAGGACATAAAGATCTCCATGCATGCCCCAAAATGGACTTCATAACCGTCACTTAGACCGGTGACGTCTATCAAACAGACAGAGGGTATACCAATCACGACTATTCTGACCTATCCAACAGGCCTCAGAAGGTATCTTTCACGGAACTCCCAGAAACACCAACAACGCCACCAAGAACAATTTCATCAACTGGCTTATGAAATCTGATTCGATGGCTCTGAAAGTTATCCCCAAAGCCTCATCTGCAGGCGGTTCAGTGCAAAGGAAAGAAACTTCAGAAAGTGGTGGACGGACCTGCTACCGGGCAGTGTGCCAGGTATCGTAATTTGAAGCCATGTAGCCCTATACGATACTGATACTTCATAGATACCTTCCATTGGACAATTTCATGCAGCACCTAGAATGGTGTTCTCCGCAGCTCGCTCTCTAGAAGCCTCCTCGAGAGCAAGGTGTCGTCGAAGACAGCTATACCACCAGCAGAAGCCTGACTATGGAAAAAGTCAAGTGACCAAGGTAGACACTCCGACTTGTCATGTTGTCCAGCACAAACAGACACATGGCGACTTGAGACATGTATACTGGGAACATGATCAAACTTGGGATCGGGGTCTGCCAGCTAAGAAGAACGGCACTGATCCCAGTCTCGAGAGGATCAAATACGTTTACAAAAGCACCGACCAAACTTTGGAGCTTTTAGCAATAAAAGATTTAGAAGACAAGCTAGGGTGCTTGGCCATTGCTTTGGAGAACAGACCATTGAGAGCCGTCAGTCCAGGCGTTGAAGAAGCCTATATGCGAGGAGAGCCTCTTACTCCTCCCGAGATCGAGTTTTCTGAATACAGTGGGGAAGACGACTACTGGGCCTGGGATCAGGAAACTCAAGTGTTCAGGCACTGGGATGAGGATTTGAGAGAGTGGGTTAGCTTTCCTGAGAGGTTTGACTGATGAAGAAGTTGAGGCAAGATAGGATAAAACGTAACAGTAATCACTACACATCATATTAGGTGTTTAAGACACTAGCTAGTCACTTTAGAACACTTTCATTAATAAATTTCATTGGCTGTTCAACTCTCCGAGTACAGCACAACCACATCGTCAACGCCAAGTACTTCCCGTCCGCTCATATCCTCATGATCTCATCAACAGCCTTCCCAAGCTCACAAATCTCAATATCAAGCCTTGCTTTCAGGCTTGTCCTTCACAACCTTGTCATTGGGAGAGAAGCTAAGACTGACGCTGTTTACACAATGACGTTCATCAGTGGGCGTGTCAAAGCCCTCGCCCTTGAACACATGACCTAGATGGCCGCCGCAGTTGGAGCACACAATCTCAGTTCGTGCCATACCGAAGGCGCGATCCTCGTGACGCTCAACTGCACCGGGGATGCTGTCAAAGTAAGCTGGCCAGCCACAGCCAGACTTGAACTTGTGAGTAGCCTTGTAGAGAGGCGTATCACAGCCTGCGCAAGTGTAGACGCCTTCGTCGGGGTAGTGCTTATCGAACTTTCCTGAACCGGGAGGCTCGGTACCCTTCTCACGGAGAATACGGAATTGCTCTTCTCTCATTAGTTGCTGTGTTTAGAGAATCGATTATGAGGCAACTCACCCTTGTTGAGGACAGCACGCCACTCGTCGCTTGAACGCTGGTCAGGATAAGACATGTTGGACTTGTTGCTAGATGAAGTGCCAAATAAAGCGCCCAAGATGGGAATTCCAGACATAGATCGAAGAGGAATAGGTCGATAGGCCAAGTGTGAGGTCAGTGGAGGTCTCACACGGGTAATGTTTGAGAATGTAAAGATGATGTTTGACAGGAATGGAGAGAAGCGCATTGGATATAGGTTTAACGCGTATATTTATATTTGGTTGAAAGGATGAGCTGCCATTTCAAATTTTAAAAGACGTTATAAGCCCAGTGTCTTGATTTAGTGGCAATCTGTGGAATCATTTGCATCATCGAGTGAGGGAGGTTGCTAAGCAGAAGCACAGCCACAGCTTGGAGCATGCTGTACGCTGTAATCGTGGCTCTGATGTCAAACCTCAGCGCAAATACGCCGATAGTATTCCAAATACGATAGTAGCTTATCCCCGACAAGGGAATTATCTAACGGCGATTATTCAACATCATTTCCTCAAAGCTTATCAGTTAAAACTGAGACTAGACGCTACCCTAACTATTCCTTGGTTCAGCCCCAATATATCGCAACGTGGCTAAGTTGGAAAGAAATAGCTTCTGATGATGTAAAAGTCAATTGGCAATAGCACATTCGAAAATGAATACTAAGCATCTTGGCGTTTCAAAGTCTTTGTCAAGGAAAGATAGTTTTATTCAAACTTTCAATAAATTGAGACTCTAGCCAAGGACCAAGTGTCATGTAATGTGAAGAAGAACTTCGACCTGAGCATGGCTGATGCACTGCAACTTCCATGTAGCCTCCCCGCTAAATCCAGGGGCCAGGTACCTCGAAGAAAGAGTCAAGGCCCGTGCATTAATTCCGCTGGGCTCCAACTGCTAATGATAACTAAAACATCACCAACCTGACCACCTTGGCACCTCCTATCAACCTTCATCCACCTCGATTCTAGGCACCTCTTTTAAACTCTAGGTTGCCACTTTGCAACAAACTCTCCTAGAGTGGTCCTTCAGAGCACCCCCATTTCAAATCTCGCGACACCCCAGCCTAACTCTTCAACTCTTTCTCGTCACAATACCATCATGTCTAGGAGAGCCCCGAACCCCGCCGCTGAGCGGGCGGCGCAAAACCAAGCTACCATCAAGAGTCTCCTCAAGTTGGAGGCCAACAAGGTCTGCTCTGATTGCAAAAGAAACAAGCGTATGTTCTCATTTTCAACTCCTATATCCAATCCCTGCTGACTTGGCCAGATCCTCGATGGGCCAGCTGGAACCTTGGCGTCTTCATCTGTATTAGATGCTCAGGCATCCACCGTGGTATGGGCACTCACATCAGCCGAGTCAAGTCCGTCGACCTCGATTCCTGGACCGACGAACAGCTCCAGAGCGTTCTGAAATGGGGTAATGCCCGCGCCAACAAATACTGGGAGGCAAAGCTTGCGGCCGGTCACGCTCCCTCCGAAGCCAAGATCGAGAACTTTATCCGAACAAAGTACGAACTCAAGCGATGGGTGATGGATGGCCCCATGCCCGACCCTGCGACTCTGGATGTTGAAGGCGACGACGATGTGCCCCTTAGTCTCGTCAAGGAGAAGCAGGTCATAGAGCGCAAAGAATCTCTCAGGAAGGCTTCCCTAGGTAACTCATCAGCACCAAGGGTCGTCCCCCCTCCTCAGGGGGATCTTATCGGCGGAGATCCTGTCCCTGTGCGATCAAGCAGCGCTGCTCCTCAGTCATCCAAGGTCCCCCCCAAGGGCGAACCTGCTCCCCCACGAACAACAAGCACAAAGGATTCGCTACTCGGACTCGACTTCTTCGGAGAGCCCCAGGCTCCTCCACGACCAGCCAGCACAACCGGTACCGCCCCAAGCGGCCAGTCACGACCTGACTTGAAGCAATCTATTCTCTCTCTGTACGCATCTGCACCCAGAACTCAACCCCAGGCTCAGCCTCAGCAGCCTCCATCTGCTGGAGGATTCGGCGGTTTCGCTTCTCCCACTTTTAGCCACCAGTCACAAGGCTCAGTCGGCGGTTTCAACGATGCCTTCAGCAACCTCAGCGTCTCAAACGCACCTAAACCCGCTGCCCCCGACCCTTTTGCCAGCCTTGGTTCTGCTGGCCGTACCACATCCAGCAACAGTAATGCATTTGGCGGCATAGGAGGAGGTAGCTTCTTTGACAGCAAGCCCTCGCAACCTTCCGCCCCTACTCACCAGCATCAATCTTCCAACTTTTCCAACTTTGGCGGCTTTTCCTCCCCTGCGCCTGCTCCTGCTGCAGCTCCGGCCGCGCCCAAGCCTGCTCAATCCTCTGCTATGGGCGATCTCTTTGATCTTTCTGCGCCTGTGACCACATCGCCTCCTCCGCCACAGCCTGCAGCCGCTTCCACCGGCTCCGTCTTCAACCTCTCTTCCCCTCAAAACCCTCCCGCTGCTGCACCTGCCAACACCACAACAAGCTCTATGGGTGGTTTCTCTGGTGCTGATGTCTGGGGTGGGGGCGATTGGGGAGCCCCTGCAGCAGCTCCAACGCCTGTTCAGAAGGCCCCTGAACCAGCAAAGCCTGCATCTAACGATTTTGGATGGGGTAACGCGGGAGGCGCTTTTGCCAACACTCCCATAGTCCCCGGAGTATCTGGAGGCTTGACATCTGGCGGTTTCAACCCTATCGCATCACCCAAGGTGTCAGCCGACGAGGAATTTGGAGGATGGACCAGCAGCGGGCCTGCTGCCAGTGGAAGCACTGGCCAAACAAAGTCCGGCGGCTTCGGCGGAGATGATGACTTGTTCTCTAATGTGTGGCAGTAGGTGGTGTGCTTTTGGAAACATTTAGATGGCTTAGGGGTTCCATAAAACGATTGTAGGCATGTTTAGGCGTTTGCATGTTAGGAGTCATGTAAATGCGAAAGGAGATGACTTAAATTGCACGACCGTTACGATCTCAGCACGAGTGATGAAGCGATGTGAATGTATTCAAGTAACGCCGACCCAACGCTGTCAAAACATTAAATCCCCAAGGGATGACTCTCTAGCTTCCTGGTTGTGAACACTCGGATGTCTGGGATACCCTCCAATCGTGTTTTCCTAGCCGTACAAAGTAAAAATGGCAGGCATCCCATTTCCGCTCTAATCATTATGGCACTTCCCAAATTCATCAGACGCCTGCGCTCCCAAGTCTTAGAAAATCAGTTTTGCACCGTAGAACAGCACTAAGAAGATGCCAATTACGATTCCTGACAACTTGAGGATCGCAACACGGTTACCAGATGCGGCCATACGAGTCAAACGACCGGCAGAGCCCTTCATCTGTGTGGTCATAGAGGAGAAAGTATCGGACTATTGGACGTCAGCTGTCAAGTCGTCGTAACCGATGGGCGAAATGAGGTAGACGGACGGTGTTGTCAATGACATCTTGGGCTCGGGCGTTATCGTAAATGTCGACTGTCACGCCACGGAGAGCAGAGACTTTGGCGGAGAGTTCGTCGAGGCGCGCATTGTTCTGGCGCTCTCGTTCGTAGGCTTCGGACATGGCGGGTATGAGGTTGTCGGAGTAGGGGAATGAGTTGTCGAGAACAGGGGCTGTCGTGAGCAGTCTATAAGGTGGTCGATCAGGTCAGTAGGAGTTGTGTGATTGTTTTTCGTTTTCGCGTGGTAGAGAATAAACTCTTGGTTGTTGTAAATTCAGCCGCCTTCCTTAAATCAATGTCAAGTTGTGAAAGGGGTCTGAATTCCAACTCAAACCCTGGCTGTCATGACGAACTCCTGCTTTGGGTTTCCAGAGTCCGCCACGGTCATGCGCCGCTGCTCGGACGTTGCGTAGTACGTACCCTGTAGATCGCACCGCCACATATTGAATTTACTAGCCACTCTTTTCTCTCCAAGTACTCCACAGACAAACTGGAGATATCTCCGCCAATGCAGCTATACCTTGACACCTGAGGCGGGGCAGGTGTTACAATCAAGGCACCGTGAGAGAATATGGTTGGGCAGTAGGGCATCTATAATTCCAGCCGGAAGATGCTCTGTTGCTTCGTCGTCATATACCTGCGCCACATGAATTAAGAAGCTTAGGTTTCTTCAGCGCGTGTGCCGTGTCGTTGCGTCTACCTTAACTAAAAGTGAACCTAACGTCTGCCCACACCTAATCACGACTAAACTGTCGTAAACTTTCTTGTGGTGTATGTCGATCGTACAGCACTTCTGTATTATATCGCCGCATTCTTTATAATACTTCACTTGCTTACAGCCAATGCTTGGCCAAGAAATCATCGGGGCGCAGCATTAACTTGTCTGGTGACGACGCAGGCCGGACAAGCTACGACCTATACTTACCTCTTAACCCCACTCACTCGCTCTCGCACTGAGAGCTTCTTGGCTCATCTCCTTCAACAACAGTTTTTGAACTGCGCATAGCTACACATTCTCGACTATTCGAATATTACCACATATATCTCTCGAACCCATTAGATTTTACCAAGATGGGTATCAACAATCCTCTCCCGTCGTCTATGGCGTGTAAGTCGAACCTCCAATTATGTACTCATGATCGCGCATCATGAGCCCCTCCCAATAAATATGCAGCCAAAGCACCCGAGCCATTGCGAGACCTGACTAACGCAACTCTCTACAATAGCGGAATGCAAGAAGTGCGGCAAGATTCTTACGTCCTTTATCAACCCTCGCCAGTCTTTCGGTCCCGACAAGGTCATTCCTCCTTCAATTCTCGCCAACGCAAAAGGCCTCGCCATCATCACTGTTCTCAAGGCCGGCTTCCTCGGCTCAGGACGTTTCGGTAGTGGTCTCGTCGTCGCCCGACTTCCCGACGGTGGCTGGAGTGCCCCTAGTGCTATTGCGACTGCTGGCGCAGGCTTTGGTGGTCAGATTGGCTTCGAATTGACCGATTTCGTCTTTATTCTTAACGATGCGAGCGCTGTCAGAACATTTGCTCAGGCGGGCTCTCTGACTCTTGGTGGCAATGTTTCCTTAGCAGCTGGCCCTGTAGGCCGCAATGCCGAGGCCGCCGGTGCTGCTTCTCTTAAGGGTGTCGCTGGTATCTTCAGTTACTCCAAGACCAAGGGTCTCTTTGCTGGTGTGTCCCTCGAGGGATCCGCCATCATTGAGCGTCGCGATGCCAACGAAAAAATGTATGGCCAGCGCTTCACGGCACAGCAGCTACTCACCGGCTCTGTGAGACCACCTCCCCAGGCTGCACCTCTCATGAACATTCTCAATTCGCGCGTCTTTAGCGGCATGCGCGGCGGCAACGACGACGCCATGTACAACGATGTCCCCGTATACGATGAGTCGCACGACGACGTTGTGTGGAATGGTCGACGAGGATCTGCGATGGGCGAGGGTGTGCAGCGCGACCAAACAGGCTCACAACATGATGGTTTCGGAAGACCAAGCCGGTCGAACACATGGCAGGACGATGTATACGACAGACAGGGCGGTTTTGGCGGACCTACACGCTCCAATACGGTTGCCAGTAGTGGCGGTGCAGCCAACGACTATGTTTACCGAGATAACCCTGCAGGAGGTTTTGGTGCTGAGAAGAAGGCCGGCCCTGGGCGACCAGCAGCTCCAAAGCCTAATTTTGGCGCTAAGCAGGCAATGCTTAAGAAGAATGAGGCAGTCGCTGTGTACAACTTTGACGCGGACCAGCCAGGTGACTTGGGCTTCAAGAAGGGCGATGTCATTACCGTCCTGAAGCGAACTGAGAGCGAGAACGATTGGTGGTACGTATCTGAATCCTCCCTCCCTACGTCTGAGTCGGCAGAACTAACAAACGCGCAGGACTGGACAGATTGGTACAAGAACAGGCATCTTTCCCAGCAACTACGTCAAGATGAAGGAGTAACGGCTGTCTTTGTATCTATTTAAATACCCTGAGGCGACTTTTCGGATGGATATCCCTGGAATACATGCAATGGGTGTTTTGTCTTTTGTTTGTTTTATCATTGGCGGGTTCAAAAAGACTGTTTGGTCTCGCATGCATATCGTATTGTTGTTCACGTTAAAATTTTAAGTTCAGTCTTTATGCTTGCAAAAGTATCGCACTTGAGTTCATTCCCGGATCATGTCGACGAGAGACCTATCGTGTTACTCCATGGCTCCTACCAATGCTGCTGATGGTTATGATTGTGAGTTTGCTCTTCAGCGCGCGCGTAGTCTTGTTGTCATGTTTGTAGGCGTGAGTGTCTTATCATCAAGAGATAGCCCAACTATAAGCTACCTATTTAAACGCGTTTCCAGCGTAGTAGTCAGCCAGATTTGCCAGTATTAACTCATATACCATCGTCGCCTAACTAACATAATAAACCAAGGGGTCAACATAACCCCTAATGTGGTATTCTGTACACATATTTCTGAATCACTTTCAAATTTTACATGGGAGTATAGTTATTTAAGCAGCACTGTCTAGTGAAGTAATGGATTCGTCTGCCTGGCTGTGCCACTGTACATCTGTGTTGTCCCGAAGTCGTCTTAGCCAGAAGTCCCTCCTCTTCTCCCAGATCTGATGCAAGTATAGCTCTGCGTGTCGCACCTCGTCCCCGCAATGCTCAACCCCTTTTTCGTACTCTTCAAAGAGCGTTGCAGTTGCCTCGTGTAAGTCTTTCAATGTATCAGGATCAGTAACAACAACTAATGGCGAGCTGTCAGGCGTTGAAGATTGTTCTGCAAAGTCTGCAGTTTCCAGAGAGCCAACCGCGCCATTTGGTTCTGATTGCATATCTGTTTGACATTGAGCGTCTTCGTATGTATCTTGCTTAAACTTCTTGGAGGGAATCGTAAGCTCAGAAGTAGAGGTTGAAGTGTTGTCTGCCCGTTTGTGGTTTGAAACCAACTGAACGATATTCTTTCCCGGTGTTGCGTCTCCCTCATTTGGTTGACGTTGCTCAACGTTTGCTCTCTTGCGAGCAATTTTTGTAGCCTGAACTTTCTTCGGACTTTCGGCCGTTGTACCTGCAATAGATTGAGTTGCCGTGCCTGTTTTTCTTAGCTTGCGAGCTTTGACAGCTTCTAATTGCTTTGTCTCTTGTGGTTTGGATCTTCCGCCTGCTTTGTAACCCTTCTTACTCGACTCAAAAGGCAGTGTTCTTGGTTGAGGCATCAGATCCCGATATTCTTGTGGTTTGTTTTGAGGCGACAGATAGTGCCCTGGTTCATCAGTTGTTTCATTCCGCATCAGTCCATTAGCCATGTAACTTCCAACATCGTTATTCTTAGAGTTTCCGAGGTTGTTTGGTCCCAAATTCGCATGCACAACGGTCTCATGTAAGCCTAAGCCTGGAGCTGGTGCGTTGAAATTCAAAATTGTCCCAATATTATTGTCATGCCAGTGAGTCGAGTGTGGGTTGGGAACGAAGGAATGCCCAATAGGTGAGCTCGTGCGAGCTACGTGTGAGTATGCGTTTCCTCCTCCAAGGAACATGCTGTATGGGTTTAACTGTGCCGCAAGTGGTGGTGCATTCACTACCTGATTAGTGAAAGGATACGATTGAACTGGAACCGACACATATCTCTGCGTATGTGAGACCCACGGGTTGGGGGTAGTCGATGGCTGGAAAGGTTGGAAAGGGGCAGTTAGCATTGCAGCGAACGACAAGCCATGTTGAGTTTCTGGGCCCCCTGAGGCATTCATCGGTAAGAGAGATGGAGGTGTGATGGATGACAGTAGTGGGCCATAGTTCGATGTGGTACCATGCGTTGGTAGATTCGTGAGAAGAATCGTCGGTAACGCATCGCTGACATGGAAGCCGGCCTTCTGCAGCAGGCAAACAGTAACACTGAAGTCTCTTGTCTTCTCGAATTGCACAAGAATTGCTTGAGATCTGCCAGGAACGCAGATGCACAGTCGATTGGCTTGTTTGTTGATGCTAACCATATCACCAGGGGGTCCCGAGTCTTCTCCAGTTCCAGCAAGTCGAAGGGAAACCTTGCCTGTCAGTATGCTATGATCAATATCTAATCATAGGATATGCGCACCACTTGCTGTGTCTCTTTTCGAATGAGGATAATCAGTGCCCCCGTTTCTGTATCAACTCGCCGCTGGCCTTCAATTGTCAAGGTGAAAGTGCCATGAGATTGGGAATTATAGGCTCTAGCAGATATACCATCACGTATCTCCAAGTACACAAGTGGACAGTCAAGTACGGGAGTGGGAGGGCCAGACATCTTCATGTATTATCACATAATGAATAAAGTGTAGGCAGCAAAGGAGCTGAATGTTAGTGGGAGGTGGGAAATGGAAATGACGTGTCGTATATTCTACGTACGTTGGGAAGTGGGCTGAGGACGTTCCTTCTGGAATACTAACAAGAGACATGACACCAATAGGTATTAGGTAGATATGAGATAGTTCAATTGCACCTTCCTGACTTCCTTCTGATGGGCCTAAGGACCGATGGTGGTTGTAGAGGTAACTTCATTGGCTGGCTTGCTGAGCGGGTCACGTGGAGATAAGCCATGTTAATCTCAACCGAGACTTTCGACGCGCCGCGCCAACGCAAACTACCAGCGCCGACCCATGCGAATTGAGTGCCAATCGTGGACTCGGCTACTCTCATTCACGACGTCTCCAGAATCAGTCAATAGATTAACAAGGAGACTTTCGTAGACCATTAGACATCGCGGGGGGCGCCTACCTACATACTATTTTTATTGACTGCGCGACGCCCAACGCAGCTCGGCCACCTATATTTCTACAGCACCCTCCGTTAGCGCGCGCATTCGCATCCTAGACTCGCCTACTCTTCTTCAACTCCGATTCGATCATCCAAGATGGCTCCTGTACGCAATGAGGTGCCGCCGCACACGATAGACCGCACTCCCGAATATGAGGAGTTCATGACGCGACTCCGTGATTATCATACCAAACGAGGCACTATACTTGACCCGGAACCCAAAGTTGGCGCAACGCATCTCGACTTGTTGAAGGTCTTTAACCACATCGTGGAAAGTGGTGGCTATGACAAAATTTCGGAGGAAAAGCTAGCCTGGCGTCGAATGGCCTCTGAGCTCGGTATCTACTCCAACAATGAAGCCTCGACTGCATTTTCCTTGAAGGAGAAGTTCTACAAAAACCTTGCCGCATACGAAATCAGCACTGTACACGGAAAGGAGCCGCCGCCAAAAGACATTCTGGAGGATGTTACAGCCAAGGGTGCTGCCTTGTTGACACGTACCAGAGAGAATTATCGAGGCGTCAAACGGGAGAGTAATATTGGTGCTACAGACTCAGCGGCCTCGGGTGACGATGGTACACCCGTTCGCGAACGACCCGTTCCAGATGCTGCTGCTAGTGCGCGAGCATCAAGAGGGCTCAGAGAAGCACCTCCTCAGCGTGTCATTTTCCAGCCAGACACCGGCCCTTCACGTACAACACGACACTCTTCGGCTCACCATGCGACGACTACCAACTCGCCAGCCGCCAATCCTCCTCAGACTCCTTCACACCACCCTAACATGCATGTACCCCAACAACATCACCAGCAGCAGCAACAACAACAACAACAACAAAACTACCAGGGAAACCGAGGGCCCTCAATACTTCACCACCCTACCACGAATCCTGAAAACACATCTAATCTTGTTACTGCCTATCAACCACGGTTTTCCAAGCCCCTGACACTTCGTGCGGTCCCAACACCTAGTAATGCGCCAAACGAGTTCCAAAAGCCTCGTCAACTTCCGCGCCTAGACTCTCGTCAGCCCATGCAACCCGGCAGTGAGTGCTCCCCAGTTACCATTTATGCAACAACTAACATTAGTAGCTGGGTTCGATGGTCCTAATATTTACATGCGGTGCCTGAACGCTCTACGATCAAACATTCCTGCTGAGCAGGCTTTTGCCCTGAATCACTTGGTAAAGATCTCGTTTGAGCGAGGTGACAAGTACAAGTTCGATTCATTTCCAGGTCTTGCAGAAGGATTAGTTGATAAGGCCCTTGAAGTGGGACAGTTGTTCTATCATGTCAACTGGACAGTCTCATGGAACATTCCTCATGACTCAGATGGCCCCAGTGTCCTCGATGGGAATTATGGAACCCAAGACATTCTGGAGCGAATTGACGATCTCATTGAAAAGGATATGCCCGATGTCCTCCAAACAGAGGCTTATGCAGACAACTTGGTGCTGATAACCGAAGCTGTGTTGACGCTACGCAACATGGTCACTCTGCCCGAGAATGCCCACAACATGTCTGACTTTCCTCCCATCAAGGACCTCATCTGCATTGTCCTGAACTTGCCACAGAGGGATTCGCTTGTGGAGTTGAAGCATCTCATTCTGGACATCGTAGAGCAGCTGACGCCATTCATGACTCTGGATTCAGATGACCCGCTGTATAGAACCTTGTTAACCCAAATGGCATCTGAAGACCGAGGTACCATTCTAACAGCTCTCCGAGCGCTAGGCCGCATTTCGATGAACCTCGAAGCCACAAACAAGTTGGGCAACGTGCCTGGACCTGTGCTTCAGCGAATTGCCAGCTGGCTACTTCTCAATGACGACGAGCTTATTGATGCCTGCCTCGACTTCCTCTATCAGTACACCGCCGTCGTACCAAACGTGGATACGTTGATTCGTTCGTTGGCGCCAGAGAACCTGGTCGACCACCTCGGTCGCTTGCTTGCTCACGGCGCACGAAAGACGCAGCGCGAATTCGTTCTTACGCCCGAACAACGAAAGCCTGCTCACGATCAAATTGCGCCTATGCCCGAGGATCTCTTGCAAGAGATGCTCAAGCTGGAAGAGCCTGACCGCGTCCACCGATGGGTCCGCTGCTTTTTCGAAGAGGACAACAGCTCTTACGTGACACAACTGGCTGCTTGGCAGGCGTACCAAACCGCCTTTGTTGGCCCTCTCAAAAATATTGGCCAGCCGCTGATTACTCCTGCCGATTTTATCAGAAACAGTACTTCTGTCTACAAAGATTCGAATGCGCAGGTTCTCAGGGATCCAGGCGACCCGCAACAGAAGTTCATCATCCATGGCATCCGTGCCAGGCCCAAGCCTCTCGGTATGGATGGCAAAGAGTACGGACGATGTCTGTGGGCCTCGAATCCCGATAACATGCTTGAGAAATGCGGTCATTTCTATATCCAGGCCGAAAAGATGTGGGAGCATATTCTTACAGATCATCTCCACGAAAAGCGCAATGAAAAGGGGCAGTTTGACAATGTTGAGAAAGAGTTTACCTGCACATGGGACCAATGCTCTCGTTTCCAGAAGCCTACCAAGCTTCGCCTTCAGGAACTCTCTCGACATATCAACACACACGTCTCTTTGGCACTGCCCAGTGAAGCGCATGGTCGAAAGTCTGAACGGTCTTGGATCGTCCCAGCCAAGACCATGACTGTGACCTTTGAGGAAACAATGACAGCACGCGACGAGCGGAATCCAAATCTCCCGCCCCAGGCTGCCGGCATCCCCCTCAGCGCTGCGCTGGTACTACGGAACATTGCGCGGAACGTGGTAAAAACTGAGGCAGAAGAAGAGATGGTCAAAAGGCAAGCCGAGACGGGCGAAAATGGAGGCTGGAACGAGATACTTTTCAGGCCACTTCTGCCACGCTTGTTTGAAATTCTTGCGGAAAACAGAGCCATGGTATGTTTTCTTTCCTCAACCTTCACTTCGAGTGTCCATTCTAACCAACTTTATAGAGCCCTTACATTTCATCATTGCTTGATCTGATTCGCGTTCATAACGAGGATCGTAGTCAATGATATATTCTCGTCAAACTAACGAGAGACCACGCGGGAGTGAACAATGCAGGACGAGGCGTTTAACGGAGAAGCTCCTAAGCTAATGTGGTGTTGAAAAGGGGCGTTGTACGCATATTCATTCACATGATAGCTTCCTTGGAAGGGTGGAGACTGAAGGTGTTGGCGTGGGATCATGTTGATTTTTGGAACGAATTACTTTGTAATAATACCCTGCCGGTGGGCGTTAGAGCCCCATCGGTCATTTATGAATGATAGATCGGTATACCCTGAGGGTCACAGGATATCGCCGGTGTCCACTCACGAGGTCTATCCTCGGGAGAAGTGCCTGGGTATCCAATCTATCATGTCTAGGCCATTAAATATCTTGATAGAAGTTTGCTCAACTAAGTAATTCGAGAAGGCAGCAACAACCGCCTGTGACTTTAATTTTTGTGCCTTATCTCCGAGTCGCCAGGCTGAGCGTCCTGAAGACTGAACTTCATGATCATGGTCATGCGAGGCCGGGCCGGTGTCACTATAAACTAATGCAAGGCTCGTACGAAATAGATGGGAACCGCATTGATGTGCACCAAGGAATATCGAGCTCTTTCCATGTGGCTGGTTAATGTCAATGGCTCAGTCTTGTGAGCTCTAGGGAGGACGGACCAGCATGCCCTTGTGTGAAGGGGAGGGCTAGGCTTCTGGGGATATTCTGGAACCCCAGCAGTTGCTTGGATCCTTGGCATTCACCCCACTACACGGTGCTGCAATGCTAGCTTCGAGAGCTTTAAGGGGGCCTGCGGGTAATATATTGCGTGCCGATGGATGTATCTACTCGTTTATATCAACGGAAATAACAGCTGACGCCATATTTGGAGGTTACATGCTCTACAGCTTGGCAATGCCTTTAACAAAGTGTAAAGTTTAACATCAAATTTTATACAAAACAGTTCAACCCTCTTTTATAAGCTCGTGCATAGGTAGTAAGCCCACACACGCGGCGTGGGATATTCTCATTCTGTTGCAGCGGCGTTCCCTTGCACTTCAGATCGCTTGGGAGTTACCTTGAGCGGTGGATAGATCAGATCAGTTGTAGACGAGAGCCACTGTGGGTCGTAGAAGGAGATCCAAGTCCGCTCTGTGCAGTGATATCGCTTCTTGACAGAATTCACAGTGGGTATCTATCCTCTTTTACGAGTAGAAACAAACACAAAAATCATCTGATGTTTCGAAATCATTAGCTTCGTTGAGGCATGATTAAAGTGCTAGAAATATTCACCAGGTTTGGATACACACCGTCTTTTGATGTAAGTCACGGAGATTTGGCTCCAAAAGACGAAGGCAAAGACTGTCGTCATAAATTAGAGATCACCACATTTAATAACAGAGTAATTCCGTCATTTCTGTGACTATCGATATCGACAAGAGTTGTTGGGAAATAAAGAAACAGAAGCCCCCCACTGACACAACTAAGAGGTTTTTGTCATTGTTTTTACTATCGCTCAGACCAAGCATCCGAGCAACGGAGAGGAAACAAACCCTCGAAAGTGGTGTGAGCCAATGAGTAGTCATTTTAGGTTAGTGCCAAGGTAGTCTTGGCAATTCTAGGTGTGACCTTGGTGGTTATCCAGAGATGGGATGACACACCGAATGTGAATATTTTCGATTTGTTGGTGTCGAATGAGGTGGGAACAAAGTTCATCCTTTAACTACGATATTACAAAAATAAAACACTAAAGTAAGACTCCTCTTTTGATATTTGTGTTGGATGAGCGGAGATACAATACGTGTCATGTCTCGAGATTTGTGAACACCAGACACTCTCACTCTCACCTTGAGAAACAAAGTGGTCTCGGTGAGGGCTGGACTGGATATCCTGACTCGGCCATGATGAGGGGATGTGCAAGGATTCGTGATACCCGGGATTAGAAAATGAAACCACCCCAACCTTCCAGGCCTTTGGTAGTTTGGTATGTTCTGGTCTGAGTTTCTCAGCTCGGGTCGAATGAATACCGTGGCCTGTTTTCTATATTTGTGCAAGGTTAAACTTTCTGTTTGGGTAGCGGTGTAACAGTGAATCAAGTGTCAAAGAATTCATCTGCCTAGGAACATAGTAACAAAGCCAAAACCTGCCCACACAACGACGCCGATGAATGACATGCCAACTACTGCAAGCCCCAGCGGAATATAAATGGGCCCGGCAACCATTGACGAATTGCTTCGATTCGATTGTGAGACGAAGTGTTTTTCTGTTTTGGTGTTGAGGCAACACTCATGCCACATCCGAGCAAAAAAAAAATCCTATTGCCAGGTGGCCAGGCTACCTTTTTGTGTAGTTGGACCACCATACCAAGCACAGAAACCTGCAGAGATCTAGAATGAAATTAGGCGGGGAAAACTCAAGACATGCCCCGGAACGCTCGGACTCAAAATCATAATGCATTGGCTTGTATTTGCAATCTTGAAGTGTTGACATCCGATCTTGGCCTACAAAAGATTTGTTGGAGATCCGGGCATCCATCTCCATATAAGCGCCCGTTGTGGGTGAGGTGGGGGGACCTAGGAATAGCTACCGAGAGAAGAGCTACCCCTGCAACGTCCCGAGAAGCTTAAGGAAGCATCGTGAACTTGGGGGCGCTTCCTTTCTCCCCGCGACCCGCCATAGCTCATGATAGCTCCAAACTCCCCACGCTTAAGTGATCTCCCACTCCACTTGGTGCGTCCAATCCCTGAAGCCCCCATGTGCTTGTTCTCAACTTTTTGCCCCGCGCTGTAACCCAACCGAAGATTTGGAAAGTTTTAGAAAAAATGGATGTGCAAAAGTGGCCTCAATAACGCCAACGCCTGGTTTCTATGACCGAGTTCGTGTCAACCAAAGACACGCAATGATGTCGTATTGTGCTCGTGTAGCGAGAGAGTTTGTAGGCGCAAGCCGAGCAAGGCAGGCATGGTATGAGATGGGAATGTGAGACGTGGTAGAATAATCAAAAGCAACCTCTAGACCGTCTCTTGAGAGAAGGGAGCTGCATATGCATATTTTGTCTGATGGAGTCTTGGGAATAATCTCAATAACCCCACGTTGTTATCGTGAGAAATGTCAGACCAGATGCGGCAAGATCCGGTTCAACTTAGCATTGGAACCCAGTTATCAATCGAATACCGTATGGAAGGTGAAGGTCATCGGTAGTGGTTGGCAGAATTTGAGTTGCATACCACAAAGGAAGGAACCATGTGTGTGTCTGGCTGTGACATAGAAGGAGGCAAGAGGAAACAACACCAACCTTCCTTATTATAGTATCAAACTTCACCAAAAGTAAAACATGATGAGAATTCAACTATCGCCCGCATCTGGCATTTGGATCATATCATAGGCCAACGACACGACACTCCTAAACGCCATTCAATCAATCCTCGGCACAGCAATGCGTGCCTGAATGCGCCTCAGCTGTGATCCGGTTCAATCTCTTGACGGGAAATGCAACAGCCCTGGCATCGACCCTGTCAATCGATCTTGTGACCATCACAAATCTCCATTCCGTCTCACATTGGACTGAACCCCCCCGGGTGATGCGACATCGGTCTCTTGTGTGTCTAGTCCAAGTTGTTGTGCTACGGTAGTGTAAGTTACCAAGTACTGCCCCTTTCTTAGACCAAGCTAACCAGCTTCTAATTCAGGCACATCCAGCACAAGGAGGCAGGTAGCCTACATACAGTACCTTTTTCCTTATTGTTGATACTTGCAATCAAGAGCTCACCTCACCGTCTTCCACCGAAGTCGGTCAAGAATTCTCATCCCTTGCTTTCCTACTTGTTTGCTGGCTTGCTTCCCCCAGAAAATTAGTAGGTAAGAAAGCGTGCCGTTCGTTGCTCCACCTACGCCTGCGTAATGTACGTATCACATCCGCCATTTCTATATAAATCCGTAGTAAGACTGGGCTAATTTCCATTGACTTTCAATCACATCCACGCACTTCCAAATTAGCTTCGCACAGCCCTTCTTACTCTGAACCATATTACCTTTTCAAATACCAACCTGTAAGTTGCCCCCGTCGTCCTTAACTCCATGTTGTCGTGCCAGAATTCGACGACAACGGCAACTAACAAACCTACCTTGTATAGACATCTCTGTTAGCTCTCTCCACACCACCCACCTACGTACGTAGGCGAGATATCTTTGTTGCATTTGCCACCGAGCTTGCAATCCCCGGATCCGAAGCATCAAGGCCGCGTCTCCGTCACCTAGCACAAACCGAGACAGCTCAAACAATTGCCGTTCTGGAGTCGCTATTGAAGAGCCCTGAAAATAGCACCGGTCCTCCCGCAATCACATAGCCTAGCAACAACAAAAACACTCCGTTTACAACTAAGCACTGCCCTGTCAGTCCTAGCCAAGTTTTCTCTACCGCAAGATCGGCATCGCAACACCAAATCTGATACTGGCCTTTGCCTTCATTCTCACTTCCGGTTCCACAGTTTTGTCTGCCCAGACCCCGCTGCCCACCCCCTTCAGCAAGCACTAAACCACCAGAGCCGCCAAAGTACAGCAGATCCCTTGATTCCAGCCCCAGCTGAAGTCGTTTATACGGCACCGTACCTTATCGCTTACCTTGCTACACCACACCCTTTTGTTCTCCTCACGGACATACCGCCACACTAAACTCTGCACCTAGCAAAGTCCCCTAGTCATTTGCTACACTCCAACTTTTCAAGAAGGAAAAAAAAAGTTTCGCCCCAGGCCTAGAGTTTTCCTTGTATCACTCTGCCATTCCACCTCCACCTCCACAACACACTATATCAGTGATTCACTTTCAGACCCACCTCCACTCGAGTATATATCGAGCTCCCTGTGCCCTTTCGACTCTTCTTTTACCATCCTCAGTCACTACACTCATACTCTTTCGCTTTAAGGTTCGTGTCTTCTCTCAGACCAACCTTTAATATATAACATCCTCTTCTCCCTATATCATCCCTATTATATACCAGTCCTTCATCACAACTTGCTCCCTTCACTTCAGCAAGCACCACCATGTCCTTCGCCGCTCGCAACGCCCTCCGTCTGACTCGGGCTGCTGCCCCTGTTCTCCCCAGAAACGCTGCCCGATGTTTCTCAGCCACTCGTGTGCAGCGTGTCAATGACACAAACATGAAGAAGAACGTGGTTCGTGAGAAGGAGATTCCCGTCACTGTCTATGCTGCTGGACAGGGTACCGGCGATAAGCACACAGTCAATGTATCCGAGGCTGCTGCTCGCATTCCCAACGAAACTCCTGTTCCTACTCCTGACAGCGATGTGGTTCAGCCTCTCACTCGCAAGACCTTTGAGCAACTTCCTCAGACAATGCGCAACATGAGTGTCTACGGAAAGACTATCTTGCTCACTGGTGCTGCCCGTGGTCTCGGAAACTACATGGCTCGCGCCTGTGCTGAGGCTGGTGCCAAGAACATCGTCCTCTTTGACGCCAACCAGGAGCTCGGTGATCAAGCTGCTGCTGAGCTTCATGACAAGACGGGCCTCCCTGTCTCATTCTTCAAGGTCGACGTCCGTGACGGTGCTGCCATCAACGCTGCTGTCGATGAGGTTGTTGAGCACTATGGTGCTCCTGATGTTCTTGTCAACTCAGCCGGTATTGCCGATTCAAACATTAAGGCTGAGACATACGACCCCGCCATGTTCCGTCGTCTCATCGACATCAACCTTACGGGATCTTTCCTCATGTCTCAGGCTGTCGGCCGTGCCATGATGGCCGCTGGAAAGCCTGGCAGCATCATTTTGGTTGCCTCTATGTCTGGCTCCGTTGTCAACTTCCCTCAGGAGCAGAGCTGTTACAACGCCTCCAAGGCGGGTGTCATCCAACTCGGCAAGTCCCTCGCTGCTGAGTGGGCCAAGTACGACATTCGAGTCAACTGCATCTCTCCTGGATACATGGACACTGCCCTCAACCGAGTGCCCGCTCTTGACGCACAGAAGAAGATCTGGAAGTCTCTGACTCCCCAGAACCGCCTCGGTAACGTTGACGAGCTCAACGGTCTCTGCATCTTCCTTGCCTCCGACTCTTCCAAGTTCATGACTGGTTCCAACTGCATCATCGATGGTGGTTACACATGCTACTAAGCAATGCCTGGATTTTACGAATAGCGAAGAAATGGTTTTTGGCAAGGGGTTTAGCAGGATACTGGGCGAAAGGACTTGCTTTTCTTTGTTTGGAGTTCAGGATCGGAACGATGACCTTTTTCTTTAGGCATGGGCCAAAACAAAAAGCGGTGGTATAACGATAAACTAGATGCAGCTCTGGATAGTATAGAGCAAAAGCTCGCCTGCATTAGACGCAGTGCAGCATGATCCTGAATAAGGATCAGAATTAATAGCTATTGGCACTTCAATCCCTTTTTTCTTATGCTCTCAGTGATATGTTTAGGGTAGATTTAGACTTTCGGGTAACTAATTAACGTAGATGGCATTGTGAGCGCTAACAAGTGTCGCTTAAATGGAGTCGAGGCAGATCGTGACTTGACAATTGATGGATGTCAAACCACGTGCAATCCAATCAGTGCCAACCCACCCTGCACGTCAATCGATCATCCCATGCTTCCGCGCAGCCAATCACGATACCAACTCCAAGTTCAAAACGGCAATACAACTTGAGCCAATGAGTTGGTCCAGGTTATGCTCACCGCTCCAACTTTCAAAGACGATCAAAACCGGGTCATGGAAATCGACCAGCCTTTTTTGTTATTTGGTCGCCAGCGCAGAAGGCGGTGGGGAACATCGTCTCATAGTACGTAGATAGCATGAAGGGGAGCAGAGGAACATTATGATTCCTTATCCGTGAGACATTAACAAGAGTAATGTCTTGGAGGACGCAGGAACCGAAACAAACGTGCAGATACTTGTCATGTGAGAGCTATATTCACTCAGGTACACGTACAATGATGATGAGTTGGACTCAGCTACTTACGAAGAACAACACATCCAAACAACACTCGTGACAGCAAATAAACCTAGACCAGCCACCTTCCAAGGATCTAATGCAGGACACCTATACCTGCCATGTCGTCAGTATCAGAACCATTGGTCACTGTAAGCCTAAGAGACGAAATCAATGGGTCAGTTTATTATCTTTAGACAAGGCTTCTTACGCTGTTTATTTTTGTACCCTAAACCTTAGAGGCCAACTCTTCTGCTACCCACTAGCTTGTATACACAGTATCTTGGCCAAGTTTGTTACGGACGACCCCGAGGTGCCACCGCCAGACCGCATCGTTCGCTGTCCCGGCTGATGAGACGGATAGTCTCAGGAGGTGAACATGGGGTATGTAATGCAATGACTCGGAAGAAGGCAAGTGTCTTAAGATGCGCGGTCTATAACTTCTCTCTCTCCTTCCTACCCAACTCTCCTATTCATTTTCAACTAAAGCATCATACCACAACAAACACTCATTTCATCAACCATCATCACTACAATCATTACCGATTCCTAAATCAACAACCAAACCACACTCCTTTTATCGTCAATACACCAAAATCAGCCAACATGCAACTTATCTGCCTTCCTACAATGTCCTTCAATCGCGCCGCTCGATCAATGCGCAGACGCCTTCTCGGCTCAAAGGCTTTCCTCCCTGCCAGCACCGCAGCTGCTTCAATTAGGAATTCAATACCACGGCCCCCGCCGTTCCACTCAAACTCCCACGGCAAACTCAAGCACCAAGCCCAACCTGCGGCTCTTGGTACAGTTGCCGTGCTTGGCAATGGACTTCCCCCAGGGATAGAGTCCTACACTGCCATGATGGAGGGCGAGGGCTGCTCAAGAGCCGGGAAGCATATAGGCTCTTTCTATCAGCAATGGGAACGAGGAAGCTTCATGATCAGAAAGAGCAAGATGATGTAAAACGGGGGCCGGCTAGGTCAACTGTGGAGGATAGTCACGATGATCTGGCCGGTTTGTTGATTTCGCGTTTTGGATTTCCATCAAGTGCTGGTTTACTTGTTGGCTGGGGCAGATGTTGATGACCGTTATGATTGTTACGTCAGTAAGAATAGACTTTTTAAAAAAATGATATCTAAATAAGCAAGCTGTTTTGTATGGTCACCTTGGACACACCTACACATTCCAAAATATCCACGGAGCACCAAGAGAATAGAGCAAAGCAAACGATTTTTTATGATTCGAAGCTGGTGAGGAGAGGGCCAGGTCTAGTAACGTAACAGACCCAACCTCGAGTGCGAACTCGATGTGCAAGAAACAGTTCGTATGCAGGGGGTATATCCAGCGTGTCATTTCTATGTGCTGCCAGGCATCATCATGGTGTCCGCCTGCTGGCACCTTTTTTCTGTTTTTTTCTCTTCTTGCCATGTGTCGAACTTTGGCGACTCCATGCGCATAACATAATCCGAGCCACCCAGCCCTTTGCGAGGCATGGTGACAACTTTCAACTTCAATATGCAAGACCTGCTATAATAGTTGAATGATTTGTGCAAGAAAATGATCATTAGATAGTTGGGAATCAAAATCGTGATCAGGACACATCAAGGTCCGCTTGATTTGTTCCAAGTCGTCACGAGACGACGGAACAGTATTGACGTATCAATACATCAATCACCGTCGTTTAAAATACGCTGGGAATCGGTAGAATATGCTCTCCCGTTTCACCGCGATAGGCATGTACGGGGGAGGAACGGTTCGCTCGGGGTGTACCTACTGCCCCTTGCGAGCCTTTTCTTGCGCCCTTTGTTCTCGAGCAGCTCGTACCAAGGGGGAGAGTTGGATAAGATCAACGCAGCCCTTCATGAATTCGTGCTACAAAGGAATTAGTATGATAGTCGTGAGGTTCATTGGATAAACTTACCCTTAGCAGATCATGAGCACTGGCTCGCTTCTCGGGGTCCACCTTGAGGGCAAAGTAGAGGAAGTCCTTGAAAACGGGCGACAGGTCCTGCTCATTCTTAATGTGAGGAGTGCCGTTGGTCGCAATCAACCAAAGAGCACGCAGAGGAGATTCGGTCAGGTATGGCGGCTCGCCTTCTATCATTTCGATCGCCATGATACCCAAAGACCAAATATCAACTTTGCGTCCGTACTCTTTTCGTGTGACAACTTCGGGAGCCATCCAGTATGGTGTTCCGACCATGGTCGTTCGCTTGTTCTGGGCCTCGTTGATAGTGGCACAGAATCCGAAATCGGCTACTACAGTTAGACATGTATCATACAGAAGCGAACGGGTTGGGACCTACTCAGTTTGATCTTGCCCTCCATAGACAGCAGAATGTTGTCAGACTTGATGTCTCGGTGGATGACACCCTTGGAGTGCAGGTGCTGCAGACCCAAAAGTGTCTCACGACACACTGAAGCAATCTGACCCTCGGACATGATGTTGAAGGTGACAACATCCGTAAGGCTGCCTCCCTCCATAAACTCCATGACTACCCAAAGCTCGCCGCCGCACAAGTAGCTGTCGATAAAGTTGACAATATTGGGGTGTGAGCTATCCTTCATCACAAGAATCTCGTTGATAATCAGGTCCTTCTTAGGTTGCTGCTCGAGGTTCATCTGCTTGATAGCTACCAGGCGGTTCGTGCCACGCTCATGACCAGTGAAAACGCCTCCAGAAGCACCTTGGCCAATCTTGTTAAACCCGCGGTAGATATCTCGAGGATCACCTTCACTGCAAATACGCTTAAGGGAGGCGATAATATCGAGGCCTGCGCTTTGACGGGCTCGGTGTCGTGGCCTGGCTCCGGGTACGGCTGCTCCAGGCGCTTGCTGGCGGGAAGCACTGTGCATGCCGTTCTGCTGACCATACCCAGGAGCTGCCTGTACGTTTGGACTCTGGTGGTGATTAGGAGTTCGCTTACTAGGAGCACGGCTAATTCCTCCAGACATGGCGGCCTGGGCCTGAGCCATGGCCTGTTCTTGCTGCTGTTGCAACAATTGTTGCTGGTAGGCGGCGGCTTGCGCCTGAGCGAGTTGTGGGTTGGGTTGGGGAGCAGTAGGGGCGTAGGTTGGTCCAGCCACGCGGGAGTTGGATCTCGAACGGTGCTCTTCGGGGAGCATGGGGCCGGCGTCCTTGGACACGCCGTAGGACTCGTCGCCTGACTGAGACATACCGATGCCGGAGTCTTTAGTTGCGTATGCGCCGTGAGGCATATGTCGGTTGCCCATACTGACGGGTGGCTTCGGGGCTGGGCGGCTGGGCATCAAGTCTTTACCAACCTGGCCTCGGGGCACAGGAGGTGGTGCTCGGGGATTCTCAAAACTTCCTTCATTATTGACAGTTGGAAACCTGGCGTTCGTAGGTGAAATATTGGTTGGTGACATACCCATATAGTTTGACGGGTACATGCCCGGTGATGCTGCGCCTGCCGGAGAGGTGGCATACTGACCAGCATGATGGAATTTCTCTAGGACTTGGTCCTCTGGAGGTCTCTCAGTGGTTTCTTTGTAGAACTGTAAAATATCAACCATAGTTTGCGGGTTCTCTCGTCGTTCCTTTTCAGGAATTCCACTTTCGTTGATAAGTCGCTGCCATTCTTTCGGCAAGCCCTAGGCGCTGTGAGTATGGACAGTAGTAATGACAAAGGAATACTGACTGTAAACTGGCCAGTGGAACTATCGTAGCCAACATGGGTAACGTGGACGGGATTTTCAGGCGCAGAGATAACTGGCTTCTTGGGCGATCCTACCAAACTGTTCATGAACCCAGAAAATCCAGACTTTTTACGTAGAACAGCAGGCTTGGAGTCTCTTCCATCGTCAGAATATCTTTTGGGGTTGACAGAGGGGCCATCCGTTGGCACCCTTGAGCCGAGGCCTTTCTCAGTCAAAGTCGAGTCCATCGCGGAGAAGCTGTTTGCGGTTCGTAAGACAGGGCTCGCAACGTTGACTTCTACAGGCGCTTTTACGATCTGAGGCGGGGAGCGATGACGGGTAGGGGCTTTCGGACTGGGAATCTTTATTGATTCAATACTGCTTAAAAGACCAGCGCCGTCGAAAGGAGCGCCGATCAAGTCGTCGTGAATAGCAGGGCTATCGAGTGGGCGTAAATGAGAATCGGAAAGACGGTCGGAGTGACGAAGAATAGGCGCCCAATGATTAGCGGGGGTAAAATCGCCCTGAGGTGAGATGGGCGATGGGACAGGTCTTAGGGTGTTGTTGGCGGATAATTGAGGATGAGATCGATCAGAATCTTGCCAGTCGGACACGGTCGCGGGGTTGGAGCGGGCTGGGGGAGCGCTTGGGGCCCTCTTCAGGCTCTGGGAACTGCGTTTGCTCTCGAGGGACTGGGCGTCGAAGGCACCACCATCGAAGCCAGATGAGGAGCGACCAAAGTAGGAGGGAGGTTTCTTAATAAGTTTGCGACGATGTGAAGTTGCGGTATGAGCAGACGCAGACGACGCAGAGGTATATCCGGGGCCGTCCATGATCCAACGGCAAGAGCAGCCTGGGCAAGTGACGAGTTGGGGGGGGCCCTCGGGGCTAAGAAAAAAAAGGCCTTGCTTGCCTTGTGGACGGCTCGGGCCAATGTACCTTTACTGTACTGTACTCCAGTTAGGTGCTGATTTTTTTTTAAGGGACGGGACTGGACTGGACTGGATGGATGTGATGGGTCAAGCAGGTGGAGGAGGACTAAGCAAAAGCCGAAACACAGGGCAGGCAGGGTGTGTGTGCAAGGAATAGAGGAAGAGGACAGGACAGGACAGGATAGGATGCAATGCAATGTGGTGCGTTGCGGTGCGCGCAGGTCCGGTTTGGGTCTCTGTTTAGAAGCACCTCGAGCTCTTTCAGAAGGATAATCAAGGGGGGAGACGAACCAACGATGCAGGCCAAACAATAGCAAGGCGAGGCAGGGCAAATGCAAGAGTAGACGGGGGGCCTGGGGACACAACGCGGGGGTGGTGTGTGGTGTGTGTATTGTAGAGCCAGCCTAACGTGCGTTATAGTAACGTATTGTATTGTCCTGTAGTGTAGGTATTGTATTGTAGTGTATCCGTAGCTGTTGTATTGTATCGTGTCGTGTGGTAGCGTTTAGACTGGCGCCGATGGTCCTGCAAGGGAATTTCTTAAATTACTTGCTTTTGGTTTGCTTCGTTTCTGTTTCGCAGTGATTTTGCTTTTGCTTTTGGTTCTGTTCTAGGAAATCTGCCCGGTGACTTCATAAGAAGAAAAAAAGGGTAAGCTGGGATAGGGATAAAGTGGGTTGGGGAAATCAAGTTCTGGGGGAGGGAGGGAGGGAAGAAGAAGCATAAAAAGCAACAGGCAAAAAAGCGAAGCAAAGCAAAGCTGTAAAGACTCACTTACTCACTCCTTCTTCACTCACACTGTGTTGTGCTATGTATTTTTCCAATTCAAGGGGAACAAACAAATGAACAAGAAAGGGTGAGAATGAGAATGAGAGAGCGTGAGATGAATCGGAATGCGGGAGTGGATTGGGTTGCGGGACGAGATATTACACTGTAGCATCATGTATGGAGGGGGGAGGTCCTCCCGAAATATTGTGATACAAACGGCGGGACCCTCAATTATTTAGGTACAGTGGAAGATGCTCACTGTGCTATGCTGTAGAATCATGGAATCTATCTATGCCTTATTACTGCAGTGCTGGCCAACTGCCCGATGCCCAACCTTGTTAGTTGATGTAAGCCTTTGCCATCATGGCATCAGCAGCTTTTGCCGCAAACTACGGGGGTGACACGGTCACCAAAAGTTTTACTAAAAAAGGAACGTTTTCTTGAATCAACGAACTGTTCCAACAACCTACGCACTGGAATTGGGGGTCTTGATTAGCGAGGTGGTTTGGAAACAACCTAGACATGTAGACAAGGCCCATGCTCCAAAATGAAGGGTTCAGCATGTGGATGATTCAACGTCTGAGCGATAGGAGGATACCAATTAACACTGGTAACTTGAAAACGGTTGTTTGATAAGGATTTCTTCCTTTTAAATGACTCTGGAGTCAAGCTCGTTGTTCAACAAGTACCCTCAACGCTCAGTCGTAAATCACCTAATTGGGTTTATGATAGGCAGGGCACCGAATAAATGGCTTGGACCCTAGACCCCAGCGCATTGGCATTAGCATTGGGTTAAGGTAGGTACCTGCTAACGCTAGGAAAACGTACATGCAGTCCGAGTGGTACTTTGGATCTGCAGAGCGGGCCACTCAATGCAAAGGTACCACATCGTTCCTTGGCAGACGCTGTTCTTTCTGCCCTGCCCTGATAGTGACTTGGTCAACTCCAACTCCCGTCCATGGAAGTCCCTTTTCCCCTTCCAACGTTCTCCCCCACCCCACTATGACTGCAACGCCATTGACATCCATTGGATCTGTTGTCCCTCGGGCCGTTGGCGCGACTCGACAGTGTGAAAGCCTCTTGCCAGCACTTGGTGGTTGGACCAGCTATCAACCATGGACCATGGGCCATGGATGGTATTACTGCATCCTGTCTTTGCCTGTTTCCCCCTGAGCGCCTCGCTCACTGACTGACTGGTGGGAACCTCAGAATGACGACGTAGGGCGGGGGATCAGATATCTGCTGATTGATGAATCATCCCGCCTTCTTTGGTGTTTTGCACTGATTAAAGAGCCGCAATCCTGACACACGATGGCTGCAAAAGGGAGAGCGTTTGAGAGTGAACACTGACTGGCACTACATACAAATAAACAAGTAAGCGGGATTCATCCAGTCCATCTGTTTCCGGTTGAACCACTACATGTCAGTCACTCACCTACCGACAAGTTTCAGTGAATCAATGACATGTCTTGGCTACATACGAAACCCGAAGAGATCCATATCTACTATGATAATGATTGGAGGTACCTACCGCTCACTTTTAGCGTGATTCTTCCTGCTATTAAAAGACTGATAGTAGCAGTATTATTACCAACATCACATCTTTGAATCAGCCGCGCCCAAATTGGGAGCATTATGTCATCCTAAACAATTCCTCGTTCGTGGAAAAGCATGTAGGGCCAGGGTAGGATATTAGACCAATATCAATATGAATGACCACGTAATGATTCAATATCTTCAACGAATTCACCCTGAACAAGATCTAATTCCGATATTGGTGGATAATCAAACACCCTGCATATTCTACTACATGCGCTATACCATACTCACTTTTCTATGCCGGGCACTGTGGTTCTTGAGTCCACTCCGACAAAGCTTGGTAACCAGTCACATAGCCAGCCAGATGAGATATGTAACTCTTCCTCAGTCGCAACCTCATCTCTCACTTCATAACGATCAAGTGTGAGTGGATTTTATCGACATATACCTCTCAAGATAGAGAATGTTCACGGCATCGAGTGGAAGCTAGAAATCAAAGTTTGGCCAACCAAGTTGACCCTCAACCAATCTCAATCAACTCCATTCTTCCTATAGTAGACTAGCACAGGCACAAGCCCGTCCTCGTGGGTCAGGGATGCTCGTGGCTGGTGGAGACTACAGACGGTTTCGAACAAGCTCATGGGAATCAAAGCAGGCACTTGATGATGTGTGATGTGATGTGCCTGTTCGTGGCTGGCTGGCTGGCCTTAGTCTGACTAAACAAACCCGCTGCGCTGGCTCTGATTTCCGTCAGGCGCTACCTGTAGGCCCATCGACGACTAAGCTAGTTGATATCTGCTCCATTAAATGATTAGTTTGTCGCCTTGGTTTCAATATCTCAGTTGAAGAAAAGAAAGAAAGAAAAAGTATTAAGTGCGGGGCTTCAACTAGAAGCCGAACCGCAATGTTGCGCCCAGGAACTTGGTTAGTCTACCTGGTATTCGTAATAAGTCAGTGCATGCATTTGATTGTTGGTGCTGTGAGACCTTGCTTCTTCGACTTCTTACACGGCATCTCACCTGGTTGTTAAACTGAGAAAAAGCAAGACGCCCCCGATCTGACGGTGAATATCGGGAAATCGGACTTCAAGATAACCTTTCTTTTTCTCGGCTGCTTCAATCTCTAAGCGAGCTGTTTACCACTCAACTTAAATGCCACTACGTCGTCCAATGGCCGTTGAAGCCACCAATATTCCAGGGCTATGGCTGGTGGCTTTCTTTCCATTGATGGCGTTTCCAGCCTTCCAAGTGCAAGTCACTGAAACCTCAACATCAAAAGACACGCTATGGACCTGGAACTCCACCACATTGTAACTTGTCTTCCCCAGCATTTTAATGAGGCATTGGTCCATTCCATTGGTTCTGCTGCACTGAAGGGTCTCATCATACATAAATACTGAGACATACGTGAGCTGTAGGCTGGGCTGGGCTGAGTTGGGTTGGGTTAGCAGGCAGATTACATGGGGCTGCTTCTAACAGCAAACAACAGGTACCCAAAGTCACTAAAGTACAGGCTGATGTGGCTTACGTTTCAGAACTGATGCTCACTTCACCATTCAACTACCGCCGGGCGACCTTTAATCTCGATCTTGAACCAGAGCCAAAAGAAAGCCTACTCTCAATCAGTTCATTTCTGCAGGTTTCACAAAAAGTCTGCAAAGCTGACAACGCCGCGAGGGATGCAAATTCCTAACCTCTCATCTTTTCGTTGGCCGGTGCTGTTTAATTGCCCCGAGTACCAGGGGCCAACCTTGCACCACTTGTGGAATTGTTCATGCTCTCGAAGATCCGGGTCAACTCGCCGCCTGTCCGCTTCTCACGACAGGATACCCCTTGGTCCATGGCCCGTCGTACAACTCATCCAGACTAATGACCAGCACTGATCGTAGGAATGCCCTCCTGCAGTTAACTAAATTGAAAAAATGTGTACAGCGCATAGGACGTTGATCGGAACGAACTCGTGTGGAGTCTTTCTCTTGGCTTTGTTGTCTTTTGCATACGTGTCCGTGCCTGTTTGCCTGTATTTGAGGCGATCGCCGACTAGATATCACAACCTGGACAGGTTCGTGGCAAAGAGGCCTATGAGCCTCTCCAACAACCGGGTTATCACTTGACATGATAACCTTTCAATTGTCCGGAGAAGGGAAAGTCTCTAGTTATCTCTAGCTTTGACATAGAATCAACGTACATCAGCGAATGTGGCAGAGAAAGTCTTGCAGAGTGTAGCCGCGGGGCTGAAGTTACTCACCATCCAGAGATGTGTGTGAACAACCGTGCCTCACACTTCTTGCCGCCCAAACCTTCATAGAGGCTAGGGAGCAGCCGAAGCCTCAGTGCCTCAAAGGATCCAAGCGACAATTTGAGCATGTGGACATATGTTGTAAACTCTCATATAAGTGAATCAGCCAAGGTTTTTTCTACGGAGGCCCGTAAACACTTATAACCCATGATTTTACCTTACCCCTACGTAACAGACGGGAAATACCTCCAAATTCTCACAGTCTGCCAGGCATCACATCACTATACCTCAAAAGGACAAGGTGTACTGTCTCCATTCAGTACCTGCAGTAGCTGACAATGCATCGCGGAGAACGCGGCATCTGCAGACTGCCTGCATCAAGCTCGGCAGTGTCTGACACGATAGTTCGACCGGAACACCTTCACTCCGTGATATGCTGTGTGGGTGGGCTTTTAAGGGATGCGAATGCAATGTAACAGCAGTGTAGAAAAAAAGGTTAGTAGTAGTAGCTGCAGGTTCATTAAAGTTGTGAATCATAAGCTGCTTGCCTATCTGTACGCGAAAAAGTATCATCGACCTGATATTGCTATCAAGATCAGTTTTTACAGCTCAATCTAGGTCTTGGCTGTGCCATCCATGATTTAGTGATGCACCAATGTGGCATTGGATTAGCCAAGATACCAGTGCTGCCTCGAGAGTTTGTTGAGACCGAAGGTTGGTTAACAAGCCTCAGAGTATTAAACGTCAATGGCTAGAAGTACGAAAGACGCATTCTAGTAAGCCAGTTTCTGCTATTTAGACTATGCTCATGAGTAGCTTTACCTTTATACCCTAAAGCTTAGAGTAACTTTTCTGTTACTTTAGGACATATTAGACAAGTGCCTACACGTAACTCGTGCACATTTGGCAGACGTATTCTTCCTTTCAACCAGTAAATCAGTTATTGTAGTGACACGCATAGGGTAGCAGATGTCACAGCATGGGAATTGTGGTAGCACAACCGAGCTGGTGATTAAAAATCTTAGGATAGACTCAGATAGGATTGACAACATGGTTATCGCTAAATTTAGGAACAACATTTATTAGTAACTCGAATCAGTTACAGAAGGTTAAGCAGTAAGTTTTTACTATCGCCTTCTAAAAACTTCCATTTATCAGTCCACCCAACCTCTTGACACAGACGTGGCGTCTATCACTTAAGGCGTAGCGCAGAGTATACCGAAAAGTCAAACAAACTCACTTTTTAAATAATAATAAATATATAATCATTATCAAATTAATTTGAAGACATCGCCAGACAAACTTGCACCACACTCATATGTTTTCCCCCGTGATTGTCTAAACCCCACTTCCCCTTTTTAGCTGTGCCTTCCAAAAGACGCCTAGCGCCCGCTACCTCGGACAAGCTTCGCGTAAATTCTAGGTGAGTCTAGGTCTGGCGCTGGATCCCTGCAGTTAAGGGAAAGGTGGCCTACTGGAGCTACTTACTTTCGTGGGGAGAGACACCGTCTAGAGAAACTTCCACCTCACCCTCTCAACTTGTCCAACAACAAATCTTTCTTCCTCCTCTTCAATCCATCTTCCCTCCGAGTCCGTCGTCTTTTCGATTTACGGTCTCTAGCACAGCTCTGGTTCTTCCTCCTGGTTACCGGTTTACATCGTCTGCTGTCTCTTGCACAATGTTCTAGAGGCAAGACTCGCTATACATCTGATCATTCCTCCTCTATCGAACATTCTATTTTCTACGACCTTGTCTGGCCGCAAGCTTCATTGCTCCCGTAGCCAATCGAACTTGGTAAGCATCATATATACACCATTCCTCCAATTGGTTTGCTGTTTATTCTGCAATGGTCACTTTCTGACCTCCAACATCAGCTCACCTATTATCCCTACCGACTTTAGCTTCACCGACCCAAATACAACCTCTTGCAATGGCTTCCGAAGCTCCCACCGGCGAGCTCTCTGCTGCTCAGAAGCTCATGCAGAAGCATGCTGAGGCTCCCCACCATGTAATTGTCGAGGACGTACCTGATGAGGACCTCCCCATCCGTTCTCCTGCCGAGGCCTCTAGCTCTGCCGAAGCTCCCGCTCCCACTCCCAAGGCAGCTCCCAAGCCTGCTTCCAAGACTCTCGATACTCAATCGCATGAGTTGTTCCCTGAGCTTGGTGCTCCCAAGGGCAAGTCCGCCAACGTGGCGCCCATCTGGGGAGCTAAGACCGCCAACGGCGCCACCTCTAACGGTGGCTCTCGTTCGTCTACTCCTGCATCTGGAGCTGCTACTCCCAACAAGCCTATGGTCATTCCTGGTCGCAATGTCGAGACCGTCACTCTGGATCCCCAGTACATCATGGGTCGTGGCCAGCTCAAGAGGCCTATTCCTGATATCATCAAGGATATCAACCGCAGGTCTCGTGCCAACGTCACAATGTCTACCTCTACCAACGGCCGCTACAAGTTTGATGCTACTGGTCCTCAGGATGTCGCTCAACAGGCGCTCAAGGACCTTGTTGCTCAGATCGGTACTCGAGTAAGTTTGCTTCCCTCCATATTGTATACTGGACTAACACCTGCCAGACTGCCATCAAAGTTCCCATTCCCCAGTCGACTCGTGCTCACATCATCGGCAAGGGAGGTTCCATGATCAAGGCCCTCCAGGAGAAGACCGGTGCCAAAATTCAGCTTCCCAAAGTCGACGAGAACAACCCCATCGATGAGGAGGATGACGATGCTACCATTGATGTCACCATTGAGGGTAATGCCCTTTCTGCTGCTTCTGCCCGAGATGAGATTCTCAAGATTGCTGGCGAACGATCTGCCAATGTCCAGACTAAGGTTCGGGGCATCCCCGCCGCTTTCTACCCCTTCATTGCTGGCCGCGAGAACGCTTTGGCCCAGGCTCTTGAAGATGACAACGGTGTTCAGATCCGAGTCCCTCCTATTCAGGCTTACTTCTCAGGCCAGAACCCTGTTACCGCTGTTCCTGACCAGTCTCCTGTTTTCGCTCCTGCTGGCAACGACGAGAGTCATGTTCAGCTTGCTGGTGATCGCGCTGCTGTTCAGAAGGTCCGCGCCGAGATTGAGCGTCAAGTTGCTGAGCTCCACAAGCAGCTTGCCGCCGAGCAGTTGGCTATCCAGCGCGGCCGTCACCAGTTCATCATCGGTGACCG